TATTCTGATCTCCTTTCAGCTGCTCCCAGCAAGTTATGATATCTTTTTCTGGGAATAATACTTTCCCTGGAATGACTGAGACCAAGTCATGCAGAAGTGCTAACAGTGCTTGAAAATTTAAAGACTCAATGCAGAGAAGTTAGAGGTATAATGCTGAAATGGAAAGTTGTCCAAAGGCTGAGGACAAAAGACATGGCCTCTGGATCAAGCATACCTCTGTTAACAAAGCCTCTGACAATGAAGCTCTGCTTTCTTCTAACTTCCCTAGCCGCCACTTTTGTCCTCATTCTCTATCTACCTGGAAGCTCTTTTTAGCAGCACCGGCATTGGGAAGATAAGGAGTGCTGGCAAAATAGATTTTCAGTGTCAAGTTGCAGCAGTATGACTACAGTAAACTATGCCATAACAAAGTGTGAGCTAAGAAAGGGCAAGATTCTACTCTAACTGATCCCACTGTAGCCCCATGTGCCTGTCTGCAATAGGCAAAGTAAACAGCAGCTACTTTCAAAATCTTTGACTGAGCATTTAGGAACACCAAAACAGAGGAAAAACCTGAAAATCATGAAAATGTGAAGGTTGGTGAGAATAAAAATCATTTAGAGAGGTATATAAGAAGATATTGTTGGGGTTCAGCCTGAGTTTGAACTTGAACCTGATTCTCTGTTTGTTCCTCCTGATGCTAATGAAAGTATATTTACTGATGCTAATGGAAATGTACCTTTTGATGCCAATGCTCCTGAAATTAGTGAGGAAGAAACTGCTGTAGGTTTGGAAAATGCCAATGTTCCTGAAATTAGTGAGGAAGGAACTTCTGTAGATTTGGAAAATGAAAGTACCAGTGTTCATGAGAATGTTTCAGAGGGAGACCTTGAACTTTCCCTCCCTTCTGCACCTGTTAACTGTAATGACAACAGAAGGGGCCAAATTTGGGAAGACAGAAGTAAATCGCTCAGTTTGCGTTGATCCTCCCGAATTCAAGAATTAAAAACATTGGCTTCAAAAAAGAAGGGCGGTTCACGGAACCAATTCTAGAGTTTTAATTGCCTTACGCCGGGCTGACTGTCTCAGTTCAGGCATCGTTTCAGAATTGATGAAGACCTTGGCAGTTCTCCCGGTTCCCTGGCCATAGTTTGGGAAGATTTCTAGGATATCAAGTACGGTTGGTGGATTGCTAACAGGTTCCAGTATTTCACAGTGAGGCTTTTGGTTTTGCTTTGTCCATTTAAATTCATGTTTGCTGATTTTGCTGTGGCTTTTGACTTGCATTTTTCCTTTATTTTGTAACCATTTTTCTTCAATAAAAAAGGATTGTTTTTCACAGCCAAGTGTGGTGGATAGTTATCTTAGGGCCTCGTTCCCTGCTCTGGATTGCAACAGATATCTTCAGGTGTTCTCTAGAAAGTTTAAAATGTTATTTATTTACACAAGGGTTACCTCATTGTTTCATTTCACATATGCACCTTTTATTCGATTTTAGAATAAAAAACTTGCTAAAAGGTGGAATGCTCTTCTTTTTGTAGTAGGAATTTATTTCCTTTCTTTCCATGTTATTTCTGGCTCAGAAACTACTATATATACTCAAATCTAATGCTCACCTTTTTTTGGCTAAATTGCCTTTCCAAAATTAGGATGCACATTAGATTTGCATAATATGATAGTCTTAGTGCTAAGCCTAAGCAAAATGGGGAGCTGCTTCAGGAGCACCTGAGGCCCTTAAACACAGCCACATAACCCAGCATATCAAGGCAGATAATCCACAATATCTGCTTTGAAATGGATTATCTCAGTCCACACTGCCATATAATCCAGTTCAATATGGAATTTTATACAGTTGTGTGGAAGGGGCCTTGGAGGTGGGGGACAGCACCTCTAATTTAATTGTCATGGCCCAATGCTGTTTAGTTTAGTTATGTGGTACTTACTTTGAAAGTAGTTGTTATATTCCAGAAGCATCGTTTTTATGGCTGGCACAATCGAACTTGAATTGGTTGAGAATCAATGAAATATTGAGTCTAGAGCAAAATGTGCTACAAGATGTCCCGCAAGAACAAGAAAATACAGTATAATAAACTTTTTCCACGTTTTTATGATATAACCAACTAGGAAATGACATTTATAATCCAGGAACAAAAATCTGGTCACATAGTGATATTTGAATATTTAAAAACAGCACCAAAACACGAAACCAACAGCTAACCAACATTTTGAACAGGGAATTCACACAAGAAGGATGTTTTCAATGTAATGTTTGCTTTTTCTTCTACTTGCTATAGTGATGAATCAGTTTTCCAAACATTGGTGGTGTCTTCTGCATTGCAGGATCTAAGGGATTTTGGGGGGGGGGGGGGGGGGAGGATTCAAATATAATCTTTAGATATTCCTTATACAGAATGTCCCCAAAAGTCTCCCTACATAGGAAAAAATAACAAAAACATATATTTTAGATATTTTATTTGTACGACCTCTTAAAAGTCGTGATGTACAAGCTTTGAATGTAGAAAGAGGTCACCAATGCATAGAGAATATTTTGCAAAATATTGTAATGACTATTTTGTAAATAAAGTTACATTTAGCCACAATTTCCCATAGAAAGCCATCCTGTGTATGGGAAACTGAAGAGCAAGGGCCCATCCAGACAGGCCCTAAATGCCAGGATCTGATCCCACATTATCTGGCAGTGGGGATTCATATAATCCAGATTAAAGGGGAAAACCTGGGATCATATCCTGAGATATTGGGCCTGTCTGGAAGAGCCCCGAGGTAATGTATGGAATCATTGCACTATAATGATAGAGTGAGGGCCCTTCCACGCATCCATATAACCCAGAATATCAAGGTAGATCATCCACAATATCTGCTTTGAACTGGGTTATCTAGGTCCACACTGACTTATAATCCAGTTCAATGTGGATTTTATACAGCTGCACGGAAGGGGCCTAAGAAACACAAGCTGGATCTACACTGCCCTATATACAGGATCTGATCCCAGATTATCAGGCAGTGAGGACTCATATAATCCAGTCGAAAGCCGATAACCCGGGATCGGATCCAGGGATATATAGGCTAGTGTAGTTCCTGGGTGCAATCTGCATCTGCAGTAATCTTTGCACCTAGAAATACAAAGTCTGTCACTGCCTCCACATTTTCTCCCTCTATTTGCCAGTTAGCAATCAGTCTGGTTGCCATCATCTTTGTTTTTTTATGTTTAACTTCAAGCCAGCTTTTGCACTTTCTTCTTTCACCATGATTAGAAGGCTCCTCAGTTCCTCCTTGCTTTCGGCCATCAAAGTATCTAAAGTTAATGTTTCTTCCAGCAATTTTTACCCCAGCTGGATCTACACTGCCCTATATACAGGATCTGATCCCTGATTATCAGGCAGTGTAGACTCATATAATCCAGTCCAAAGCCAATAACCCGAATCGGATCCTGGAATATATAGGGTAGTGTAGTTCCAGCCACAGAAAGATCTTCCTTATGCTTTTATGCTGCCTTTTAAGTCTATATGGAGCCCCCAGTGGCACAATTGGTTAAGCCGCTGAGCTGTTGAACTTGCTTACCAAACGGTCGCAGGTTCGAGTCCGGGGAGCGGCGGTTTGAATCCGGGAATGGAGTGAGCTCCTACTGTTTGCCCCAGCTTCTGTCAACCTAGCAGTTCAAAAACATGCAAATGTGAGTAGATCAACAGGTACCGCTCCGGTAACGGTGCACCATGCAGTCATGCTGGCCACATTACCTTGGAGGTGTCTACGGACAACGCCGGCTCTTGGGCTTAGAAATGGAGATGAGCATCAACCCCAGGACATGACTGGACTTAATGTCAGGGGAAAACCTTTACTTTACCTCTTAGCCTATACACCACATATGGGCAAATTTGGGCCCTCTATGTGTTTTGGACTTCAACTTTCACAAGAACTTCCTGACTATGAGAGCTGCTCAACAGTGGTGGAGGCTCCTTAAAAGCTTCTTTGGAAGCTTTTAAACAGATCCTGGATGGCCATCTGTCGAGGGTGCTTGAATGCAGTTTTCCTGCTTCTTGGCAGGGGGTTGGACTGGATGGCCCATGAGGTCTCTTCCAACTCTAGGATTCTATTATACTAATTGGAGTTGTGGGAGTTGACGTCCAAAACACCTGGAGGGGCCATGTTTACCCATGTCTACAATACACCAAACACAAATACAAAACAGTGGATGTGGCTCTTAATGAGACATGCTGCATTATCACGGGGTGTCTGCGCCTACACCACTGGAGAAATTACACTGCTTAGCCGGTATTGCACCACCTGACATCCGCCGGGAAGTAGCAGCCAATAGTGAAAGGACCAAGGTAGAGACATCTCCAGCTCATCCCGTTTGGGTATCAGCCAGCATGTCAACGACTTAAATCTCGAAATAGTTTTCTAAGATCTACAGAGACACTCGCTGGAACACCTCAGCAAGCGAGAGTCCAAAAGTGGCAGGCTCAAACACAGAACCTCAACCAATGGCTGATACCAAATGAGAAACTCCCCCCTGGGCACACAGAGGACTGGGCGACTTGGAAGGCGCTGAACAGACTGCACTCTGGCACCATGAGATGCAGAGCCAACCTTCAGAAATGGGGCTACAGTGGAATCCTCAACATGCCAGTGTGGAGAGGAGCAAACTACTGACCACCTGCTGCAATGCAACCTGAGCCCTGCCACATGCACAATGGAGGACCTTCTCGCAACAACACCAGAAGCACTCCAAGTGGCCAGATACTGGTCAAAGGACATTTAATCAACTACCAAACTCACAAATTTTGTATTTTGTCTGTTTGTTTGCTTTGTTCTATTAGAAATGTAATATAATTGACTGGTTGCCCTGACACAACAAATACAATACATCAATACAGGCATAGAGAAACCGGAAGTGTTGTTTGTAGCCAAATCAACACTCATCCCGGCGCCCTATATACGACTTTGTGTGGAAGAGCAAAGGGCTAGAAGAGCGCCTCGGCACCGGAAGTGAGGTCATAATGGGCCACCGGATTTCGAGCGCGCAGGGCTCGGCGCTCGGTGATGACTCGCTCCGGCGGTTGAGCTCTGGAGTGACGCTGGTGAGGCCGGGCCATGGCCGACGGCGGAGGAGGAGGGAGCGAAGAAATGGGGGAAGCGGGTGGCGAGGCCTGGGTGGAGCGGCTCCGCGCGGAGTGCGAGCCCGAGCACCACTGGAAGCACCGCCGGGAGTTCCTCCTCCGCAACGGCGAGGCCCTGCTGCCCTTGTCGTCGCGGGGCGGGGAGGAGGACGCGGAGCTGCGGCGCCTGGTCTCCTTCTCCATGGTGTGGGCCAACCACGTCTTCCTCGGGTGCCGGTGAGCCTGGGCCTTCGTTATCCTCTCTCCCTTTTTATATCAGGCAGGGGCAAACTGGGGTCCTTCAGGTGTTTTGGACTCTTAACTCCCATCATCCCTAACAGCCTCAGGCTCCCCCCAAAAGAACGGGGCTCATTCTCGGGACGTCCGACCCTTTTGCGACCATTGCAGAATTAATGTGACACATTTGGGAGTTGTAGTTTTTACGAACTCGCTTTCCAATCAAGGCGGGCCTCACTAGAGCATCATTTTCCCACTTTAAATGCTGTGACTGCCTTCTGCAGAATTCTGGGACTTGTAGTTTAGGGCTTCTCCGGATGAGCAGTTTAAAGGTAAAGGTAAAGGTAGTCCCCTGACATTAAGTCCAGTCATGTCTGACTCTGGGGTGTGGTGCTCATCTCCATTTCTAAGCCGAAGAGCCAGCGTTGTCCGTAGACACCTCCAAGGTCATGTGGCTGGCATGACTGCATGGAGCGGTACCTATTGATCTACTCACATTTGCATGTTTTCGAACTGCTAGGTTGGCAGAAGCTAGGGCTGACAGCGGAAGCTCACGTCGCTCCCCGGAATCGAACCTGCGACCTTTCGATCAACAAGCTCAGCAGCTCAGTGCTTTAACCCACTGCGCCACCGGGGGCTCCAATACAGTTTAAAGGACTCTCCCTAAACTACAAACACCAGAATTCTGTGTCACGAGCCCCTAATAATAATAATAAATTTTATTTATACCCCGCCACCATCTCCCCAATGGGGACTTGGAGCGGCTTACATGAGGCCAAGCCCAAATGACAATTACAATAAAGAAAAAACAAAACACAACCAAAAATGCAAACAATAAACAATAACAACATATATGAATGCATAACAATATAAAAATTACAATATACATAAGCACAGTAACATTGGGCGGACTACATGTAATGATTAAAAGATATACTGATTAAAACTAATTAAAAACTCAGGCGAGATAAAAGAGAGAAGCAGGTAATTTACGGAGGAGGGTTCATTATAGCGGGAGTTGTGGAATCAAGCTGTCCCATGAGAGGGGGAAGTATACAGGCATGGGCAAACTTCCGCCCCAACAGGTGTTAGGAATTGTGGGAGTTGAAGTCCAAAAACACCTCCCGGTTGGGCCCAAGTTTGACCATGCCTGCTTTATACCCTGTCTTGTCATGTCCATTTCGTCTTCTTGACTTTCCCCTTTTTCTCTTTATTTCTTTCCTTCCTTCCTCCTTTCCTCTCATACACCTGTCATCTCACATCACCTCATCTGCTTCCTTCCCTCCCTCCTTTTTTTTCCCAGGCCCCATCTACACGATGATATAATCCAGTTTCTGAATCCACGTTACACTATGTAACGCCATTTTTTTGTTCCTGGTTTATAAATGTCACTCTCTAATTAGTTCTGTCAACAAAACATGGGAAAACTTTCTTAAACTTTATAATATATAATGTAATACAATATAATACTACCACACTGGAGAAATTACACTGCCTAGCCGGTATTGTACCACCTTACATCTGCTGGGAAGTAGCAGCCAATAGTGAAAGGACCAAGGCAGTGACATCTCCAGCTCATCCCTTGTTTGGGTATCAGCCAGCATGTCAACGACTTAAAAATCAAGAAATAGTTTTCTAAGATCTACAGAGACACTTGCTGGAACACCCCAGCAAGCGAGAGTCCAAAAGTGGCAGTCTCAAACCCAGAACCTCAATCAATGGCTGATACCAAATGAGAGACTCCCCCCTGGGCACACAGAAAACTGGGTGACTTGGAAGGCGCTGAACAGACTGCACTCTGGCACCACGAGATGCAGAGCCAACCTTAAGAAATGGGGCTACAAAATGGAATCCACGACATGCGAGTGTAGAGAAGAGCAAACCACTGACCACCTGCTGCAATGCAACCTGAGCCCTGCTGCAAGTGGCCAGATACTGGTCTAAGAACATTTAATCAACTACCAAGCTTGCAAACTTTGTGTTTTGTCCGTTTGTTTGTTTGTTTTGTAAAAAATGTAATACAACTGTGGTTGCTCCTGACACGATAAATAAAATATATATTTTATATTACATGTAATATTACTAATAATATTACAGTATAATGTTACAGTACAATGTAATATATAATATTAATATTGTGCTATGGTAATAATATAATATATTGTATTTACATTTTACTTGTACACCGCTCTGAGTCCCCTTCGGGGTGAGAAGGGCAGCATATAAATGTCTTAAATAAATAAATAAATTGCAAAAACTTTGAGTCCTTTATAGATATCCTGCAGCACATTTTGCTATAGTTTTTCAATTAATATCTTATTTATTTACCATATTTATATACCGCCTTTTTCAGCCCGAAGGCAACTCAGGGCAGTTTACAAACAGCACAATTTGATGCCTACAATAACAAAGAACAATTAATACTGAATATTCAATACTGAATATTTATTGGCTCCTTGTTGCATCTCTCTTTAGAAAGCAGATTTCAAGCATTAGGGCTCTGCTATGGTTGATTATTAAGTGGGGGTGAGAAGGAACTAGGTCTTGCAACTGGTAGAAGGCAACAGAATCAACTATCATGTTTACCAACAACTCAGTGGAGGTCTGCATGAGCGTCTTTAGCTTTCTTCCATGGCTGCAAACATCCCCATCCTCAGAGCCAGCAGCTACCAGTGTCAGTGTCCCCAGGATTTGAACATTGCCTGGGAAGATTTTGTTGTTGCACAAGGAGATACTGGATACCTCTTTGCTCAGCTTCTTTTTGTTTAGAATCCATAAAGAAGGCATGTCCATGCAACCCCAAGTAAACATATGCACAACATCAACTGGGTTCTAGCCTACACGTTTTTGAGTAGGACAGTAGTAAAAAAAAGTATTAAGTTCACAGCAGGAACTTGTCCTCAACTGCTATTGAAATTAATGGACTTACATAACAGTCTTTATTAGAGTCAACAAACCAGTGGTAAAGTAGCTCAGTAAAACATTCATATAAAGATTAATTACTACCATACCGCTGGGTAGGTATATTAATTATTATAAAATAATGCAATTTTAAAACCAGAATTAAATATTTTGGTAGTTTACTAGAAGAAGTGGATAATTCCTGATATCACACTTTGTTATTGTTTTGCCAGGAACCATGGTGGTGCAATGGGTTAAACCCTTGTGCCGGCTTAAGTGCTGACCTAAAGGTCGGCAGTTCAAATCCACGAGACAGGGTGAGCTCCCATCTGTGAGTACCAGCTTTCCATGCAGGGACATGAGAGAAGCCTCCCACAAGCATTCTCTGGGCAATGTCTCTACAGACGGCCAATTCTCACACATCAGAAGTGACTTGCAATTTTTCAAGTTGCTTCTGACATGATAAAAAAACATTTTGCCATCTCAGAAATTGTTCATAACATTATTGCCATAAGACAAATCCAGTTGTTATGTGGGTGTGTGCCAGTTTTATGGATTTTGGCCAGCAGAGAAGAAAAATGTTGCAACTACTTCTGTTGCGTTTTGTCACTCCTAGCAAATATTCTAAGTACTAGTTCAGAGATTGGCCTCTATTGATAATACAGTTGTGGTTTTCTGTATTCCTTATCATTCTCAGAGCTGTAATGGTACATGTAAGGTCTGCTCTTCAGTATTATAATCTGTTATTCAGCTTGCATACAAAAGCTTCGTTGGCTTATGTGTTTGTTGTTTACATTTTATGGCATTGAAAGTTTGTCACTACATGTTGTTAACCACCCTGAGTCCCCATTGAGGAATAGGGTGGGATAGAAATAAAGATGATGATGATGATGATTATTATTATTGGCTAATGCAGACAATATCTGGAAATATTCAGAGAAATCTACCCTTATGTTTATGTTTTTTTGTTGAATAAACTTGGAAAGTTGGAAAATTATGTGAAAACCTCACAATATGATTCATATGTTAGTTCCCGTAGTATTTTGGCAACTAGCAGTTATAGAATAAAGTATTTGTCTAAGTACTAATTGTTGCTGCTTTCTCCTGTTCAGGTATCCTCCACAAGTGATGGAAAAAGTGATGGACATGGCTGCGGGCATCACAGTGACCAATGCACCAACCCACACTCTAAGAGATGACCTGGTTTCCAAGGTGAAACGACGCATATCCAGTAGCAATGGTTAGCAGATCATAGCTGTGAAAAATATGTATAGGAGTATAGTAAAAATATATGTTAATCCTTCAAAAACTTTAGTAGGTTGCATTTTTGTAGGTACTACTTGTTGATATTTGTAAGATGTGCCCGGGAGGCTCTCCATTCGCTTCCTCCACTATCACAAGTATAGTTGATGGCGACGAGGGAGAGGGCCTTCTCAGTGGTGGCCTCCTGTCTTTGGAACACCCTCCCCAGAGAGATTAGGGAAGCCTCACACTATCCTCCTTTCATCGGGATCTGAAAACTTGGATGTTCCAGCAAATTGAGAATGATTAGTCCCTAGGCCCAGTCCCTAGGTAGCCAGATAACACTCTGTCCTGCACTTCATCCAGTTTCCCCGGCCCTATGATAGGCTGTTTGCACTATCCATAGTCGGCCATGTTCATTTTGTAATCCTGGCCATTGATTTGTTGAACCTCTACTGATGGAGTTACAATAAAATGGGTATATATATATATACACACACTCTCTTTTTGGTATTTTATGATGCTTTTAGTTGTTACTTTGTTCGTTAAATTAAATTAGATTGTGTTATATTGTCAAATGTGTTTATTCTGATGTAATTGTATTTTTTTTCTGTCAAAGGAATATTTGCCTTATAGGTTGGAAACCACCGAGTCTCTTTGAGGAGATAGGGCACTATACAAAAACATTTATTATTATTATTATTATTATTATTATTATTATTATTATTATTATTATCTTTCTATTTTTCTTGGATACATTTTTGAAATGTTGAGGTGTGAGCAAAGTGAATTTGCTTGATATAGACGTGTTAACTATAGCATGATCCCTTTAAAAATTGTGAATAAAATCTACAGATAATATATATAACAAAAACAAATTACAAACTACATCCTCTCTTTATGTTCCTGCACAAAAATCTTGATCAACTACTGTAATAGAAGACAAACTACACAAAAAATATGAATTTCCACTATTTTTCCAGCAATTACAATTAATTCTTAAAAACCTCTCATTCCTAGCTATAGATTACATGTTTTTAGGTATGTTGTAACCTGCCTCAAACCAAGAGGAGAGGTGGATAAGAAATAATAATTATTATTCATTGATATGCTTAGCTCAGGTTAATTAATAAATCCAAAAATCATCTTAATTTTTCATCAAAAATTCACACTCTCGTTCATCATGTTGTGCAGTCTGCTTTGTCACCAGTTTTGTAGCAAAATAAAAAAAAATCCAAAAAAATAATTTGCTCCTAACCATGGTGTCTTATCTTAGAAGTGCGTCTGTAAAATTATTGAAAATATATCTTTTGTTACATGACATTTTAATATAAGTAAGACTCCTTAATTATGGATCTAGTTTGTTCTTTTTTATTGAGAAATGGACTATTACATTTACTTGGAATTATAGATATTTTGATTTGCATTTTCTAGAAGGATCAGAGGAACCTTGCAAGAAGCGAGCCGTGGGTGCAGACAAACCCTCTGAAGTTGGAGGCAGTGACATAAAGACTACAAAGGCAGAGGTTCCTATGGAAGCAACAAAAACTCCAGAGAAGTCATTGCCTTTGGCTGTGGCCCAGAAGGCATCATCGTCATCATCAGCTGCATCTATAACTCAGAAGGCAGCGCCAGCCACATCTACATCCGTGGCCCAGAAAGCAACACCCACTGTGTCTACAGTTGTGGCCCAAACGACGGCAGCCACTACTTCTGCAGCTGTGGCCCAAAAGCCATTGCCCACTGCATCTACAGCTGTGACCCAAAAGGCAACACCCACCACGTCAACCACTGGAATAACATTAGAGGCCAAAGTTTCTAATTTTGAGTCTCTAGCATCTACAAAGCCTAAATCAACTCTGGCTTCTTCTTTGCCTGGCTCTGAACCCAAAATGAATTATTCTTTGACTAAACCTCCAGAGTCCAAATCTGTAAATGTCCTGTCATCGGAAAAGAAATTAAGCTTGGAAAGTACTGCAGCATTAAAAAGCAGTTCGCACACAAGCGCAGTCCCTGTCAAGATCCCATGCAAGTTATTAACAAGCGAAGATGCAAAAGAGAGGCAGCCGTTTTTCAATAGACTCTACAAAGCTGTTGCTTGGAAGCTGGTTTCTGTCGGAGGGTTTAGCCCCACTGTCAATCATGCAGAACTGTTGGACTCCTCCATTCAGTCTGTCAAGGCAACCTTAGATGTTGAATTTGTTCCACTGAAAGAGCTGGCTGATTTACCTCAAAATAAAAGCTCTCAGGAAAATGTGGTCTGTGAACTGAGATGCAAATCTGTATACTTGGGGACTGGCTGTGGAAAGAGTAAGGAAAATGCCAAAGCAGTTGCTTCAAGGGAGGCATTGAAACTGTTTCTCAAGAAGAAGGTTCTTGTGAAATTATGTAAAAGGAAGTACAAAGGAAGGGAAATTGAAGATTTGGTGCTTCTTGATGAAGAATCGAAACCATTAAATTTACCTCCTGCTTTAAGAAATCCTCAAGAAATATTGCAAAACAGTGAAGTCACTGCGTATACTAGCAAATAATGTTTTATCACAGATAAATTAATTTTGTATATTAGATTAGATCCCCAGATATTTTGTATTTCTCAGTTCTGCAGAACAAATACCATTATTCTTTTCACTCAGTAGCAGATGTAAATAATTCTTTAAAGATGTAAAGCGTGAAGAAGTATGCCTTAAGAGATATAGCACATTAATGTGCTGTTTTATTTGCTAAACAGTCAACCTAAGTCTTTTATTTTTTAACAGAATAATTATGGTACAGTTTGCTGTTCAGTGTGGTCTAATTTGTTAACTCCTACTATTTGGTAGTAGTACTGTTCATTTATTTTAGCAGCAAATGCATATGTCAGCAAAAAGTATCGTAGATGAATGGTAGAAAGTTGTCAAAAACTTCTGTCAAAAAATTAATCATTCGTTTTGTATGTTGCTCATAATGTTCATGAGGCTCTTAAAACCATTTATTTGAATTATTTTAATGATGTAGTTTAATTTAACTCTTACTCGAAAATGTTCTGTTGGTCCTATTTTAATATCATACATGCAGTAGAAACATTACCAGACTATATCACTAAAACCTTCTCTAAGATTTAACTTCTATTTTGTGAGACCCCGTTTTCGAGTTTTTGAATAAATACAGCTTCTAAATTAAATATATTTTATGTCTGAAATAATTTGGGAGGGGATTTTAAATGCTCATTTAGCACTTTTAACTAAAAGTCCATTTTATAACTTTGATACCAGCTTTTTAAAAGTCTTAAATCCTGTGGTATTCATTAGCAATTTCTGCAACCCATGTGAACTTCTACTTTTATTAAAACGTCTGCATTATATTCTTGCTTTGGAGTTGGTATATATTTATGAATATGATAACTGAGTTCTAGAGAGAGAAAAAACTGTTGCACTACTATGCAGAACAGCATCCAAAACATTGTAGTGATGTCTTGTTCAGATACAGTTCCACTTGTACAAGAATTAGCACCTTGTAAGAAGTGTTCTGTGTGACGAATGAGGAATCCACATTGCATTAATAGATCATTCGCTGGTGCACTGGAGGTAATTTGCACCTGTGGCTTTGCCCTAAGTAAGACTGACCCTCCAAGATATGGCCCTCCAAGGTCATTTACCCGGCCCTCGCTCAGGGTCAACCTAAGTCCGAAATGACTTGAAAGCACACAACAACAATCCTATCTCATCAGCCAAAAACAGGTCCACACTTACCATTGAAATACTAATGTTTTTATTTGTTAAAATTGTTCTTCATTTTAATTATTGTATTGTTTTTAAGTGTTCTTTGCACTATAAGTAAGATATGTGCAGTGTGCATAGGAATTCATTCATGTTTTTGTTTTCAAATTATAATCCGGCCCTACAAAAGTTTGAGGGACTGTGACCTGGCCCTCTGTTTAAAAAGTTTGAGGACCCCTGGTCTAGAAGTTGCAACAATCAAAGTAAAAAACTGTTACCTAAAGAGAAATGAGTAGAATAATGTAGACTTAGAGACTTAAGACAATCAATTCCATAGCTTTCACGCAGATCATAACATCTCTAATTGCCTCCATTTGTATCTATTTAGAACGCAAGTTGACAAGTGTACCATTGTACAAGCAAGTTCATCTCTCAAATTATGCGCCATATGGAATGAATCAAACCATTGGGTGGGAGAACGACCAAGAGGTCTTGTCCATCCTCCCTGGGTACCATGTTGCTGTGGCATTGCTCCAGCGCCCATCTGTTCTGCACATCAGGTGGCCTGCAAAGCAATGTTTGACTTGAGCAACGTGGCATAGAGGATCTTTCACTTTTGATATTTTTCAAACATCCTTGTGCAGTCCATGTTCTCTCTGTGTTCAGAGAGACATCCCAATGAGCTGTCTTTTGAGGGAGGCATGTGTGATTTGTAGTTGTTACAAGAGCCTTTGTTATTGTCCATGTCTCTGTGCCAGGTATCATAGTCAAGTCAAATAAATGAGCTCGTAGAGATGTACTTCCAGTTGAGTCAGCTGCGGCTTTAATAGAATTGCAAGCAGCCCATCCTGCTTTTCTGCATCTGTTCAATTCTGGCTTCAGTTCATTCCTTGATGTTAACAGCCTTCCAAGGTAGATGTATTCTACATTTTCGAGGTTGGCGCCATCTTGTCACTGCGGCACAATCTGTGAAGTTGTTTCGGAGTACCTTAGTCTTTCACATGTTCATCTTTAACCCAATTGAGTGACTTCTACAAGGCTTGCAAAGCATGCCAGAGGTTTCTGAGGTTGTATGTGTGATTAAAACTATATTGTCAGCGAAACATAGGTGATTAAGTCTGTGCCCATTCATGAATATACTTTTGTCCAACCAATTACAGCCTCCTATTACACTTTTCTGAGCAGCAGAAAAATGGTTTAGTGAGACGGGATCATCTTTGCATACAGCTTTTTCTACAGGTATAGCAACTTCTCCTTTGAAATTAGCATTGTAGTACATCCTCTATAGCAGGGGTCTTCAGACTTTTTAAACAGGGCCAGGTCACAGTCCCTCAAACTGTTGGATGGCTGGATTATAATTTGAAAAAAACATGAATGAATTCACTGTATCTTATTTGCAGTGCAAAAAAACCACACTTAAAAACAATACAATAATTTAAATGAAGAAAATTTTTAGCAAATATAAACTTAGTGGTATTTCAGTGGGAAGCGTGGGCCTGCTTTTGGCTGATGAGATAGGATTGTTGTTGTGTACTTTCAAATAGTTTCAGAGTTAGGTCCCAATTCAAGGTGCAGGTGCTTACCTACAAAGCCCTAAATGGTTTGGGACCCGCCTACCTGCGTGACCACATCTCCATATATGAACCCACGCGTTCCCTTCGATCATCTGGAGAGGCCCTGCTCACGATCCCACCTGTGTCACAGGCGCGTCTGGTGGGGACGAGGGACAGGGCCTTCTCTGTGGTGGCCCCCCGACTCTGGAACTCTCTCCCCAAGGACATCAGACAAGCCCCAATGCTGGCTATCTTTAGGAAGAGCCTGAAGACCTGGCTGTTCCAGTGTGCCTTTCCAGAATAGGAAACTCCTGGCATCAAGTCCCAAATGCACTTTGTTAGAGATTCAGGATTATTTGCACATTGCACCTACCTCCAAATACCTCTACATATCACTTGTCAAGCCTAGCACTTTTAAATTTTGTCTATTACACTTGGCCCGGCCCTTGGTTTTAAATGTGTCACTTTGTCATTGTTTTTTATTGTTCTAATGCTTTGCTTGATGTTTTATTTGCTTATGACTTTTATTGTGCATGTGTATGTTATTGTTGTTGGCGGCCTTGGCCTTTGTAAGCCGCATCGAGTCCTTCGGGAGATTTTGCGGGGTATAAATAAAGTTAATAATAATAATAATAGGTTAACACTGAGCGAGGGCCGCGTAAATGACCTTGGAGGGCCATATTCGGCCCTCGGGCCTTAGTTTGAGGACCCTTGCGCTATAGCATGCTTGGATGATGATGATGTACTCCATCTGCACTCCTTGCTCCCTCAGACTGTTCCATGCACACTTTGGTTCCACGCTGTTGAATGCCTTCTCATAGATGACAAGAGAGAGGACGAGTGGCATCTGGTATTTGCGGGCGACTTCCCATATTCTGTTAACGGTCAGGATGTGATCAATTATGGAGAATGAGTGATGGAATCCAGCTTGTTCAACCATCTGTGCCTCCTCCAATAGTCTCCTGATGCAGGCTAGAACACACCTGGTGAAGGCTAGATAAGTGGCAGGAGAGTTATTGGGCGGTAGTTTCTATCTCCACATGCTTTAGGAAGCATGACCCTTTTGGAGATGAATGGGTAGTCACACTATTTGGAATAACATAACCTTTTGGAAAGGCATGACCTTGTTAGAGATCGTAACCTTTTGTAAAGTATGATCTTCCATTATTTTTTTGGTCGTGTCAGGAGCGACGAGAAACTGCAAGTGGCTTCTGGTGTGAGAGAATTGGCTGTCTGCAAGGACGTTGCCCAGAGGACATTGCCCAGTCCTGCCTGCCAGTCCATCCTGAGAAGAGTTAAAAAACTCGCTTGAGTCAATCTTCTCCTTAGTGGTTTTTTTCCCCCATGTCAGGAGCGACTTGAGAAGCTGCAAGTCACTTCTGGTGTGAAAGAATTGGCCGTCTGCGAGGATGTTGCCCAGGGGACGCCCAAATGTTTTGATGTTCTTACCATCCTTATGGGAGGCTTCTCTCATATCCCCACATGAGGAGCTGGAGCTGATAGAGGGAGCTCATCCGCACTCTCCCCGGTTCGAACCTGCGACCTGTTGGTCTTCAGTCTTGCCGGCACAGGGTTAACCCACTGCGCCACCGGGAGCTCCTTCCTTAGTGGTAAATATCCACTAGCATTCATGCAAGGCAATTTAGGCTTCTCAGCTGTTAGACTGATATACCTGGTTATCTCACTGAACTGTTAGGAACAAAGATAGGGCAATGCACAAAATATATAGCAGATCTTCAGAAGTGTTATTTCAGTTCCCCAAAAAATATATCTACTTTCCCATAAAATATATTGCTTTTAAATCATGCTCCCAAAAAAACAAAAAATAAGTAGTCTTCATTAAAATTGACATGAGAAGCTGGAGCTGACAGAGAGAGCTCATCCACGCTCTCCCCGGATTCGAACCTGCGACCTGTCGACCCCAGCATAGGGGTTTAACCCACTGCGCCACCAGGGGCTCCTCCTGCTCTAATTGACATCAACCGACTCAACTGACTCCTAACTCAAACTGATTCAAACCTCAACTGACTTAACTGACTCCAACTGACTTCTGATTCAAAGGGATTCTAAAATGGAGTCTCACTATAAACATTCTAAGATCAGGGTCACATGGTCTGCAGCCCCTCCCACAACCTCTAACAACAGAGTTAAGGGGAAAACCGCATACAAATATATACACACAATATCATAAGCAATCTCAATTATATACATAACAACTAGTATAGGAGGCTTATAGAAGGTTACTATTTCCAACAGTTTAATTTTTTTCTTTGCTCTGTACAATTAATCTCTGTCTCAGAAGAATAGGGTAAGAAAATAAAACAATAAGCCTTATCCATAAATTCTGTATCCACTGAATCAACCATCCACAACTTTTTAAAAAATCTGAAAAGCAAAGCTTTGTATACAGAACACCAGTTACTGCACCCTCTATTATTATTATTATTATTATTATTATTATTATTATTATTATTATTAAACTTTATTTATACCCCGCCACCATCTCCCCTCAGGGACTCGGGGCGGCTAACATGAGACCAAGCCCAACAAATACAGTAAACAAATGAAATACACACAGCAAATAACTCAAATAAAGTACAAGCAATAAAAACAATAAAATACAAACAATTAAAGAAAAATAACACAATGAGATAAAACAGTGAATATGGAGTAAAATACAAATTAAGAGTTAAACAAGTTGGGCTGTCCAGTTGGAAGGATAAAAGCAGGGGACATAGGGTGAGACAGGAAAATTGGGGTGATTTATCTGATGGGAGATACAGGAGGAACAAACTATGGGGTTTGGTTTCCCGCTAGTAGTAAGGTGAAGTGCATCAAGAGGACAAGTATATGCTGGGACGGTCGTGGTATGAGGATTGTTGTTCATTCAACAAAAGCAAGGCAGAATAGCCAAGTTTTCAAGCCTTTCCTAAAATCTGACAAGGTGGGAGCTAGTCTAATCTCCCCAGGTAATGAGTTCCAAAGCCAGGGGGCCAACACCAAGAAGGCTCTCTCTCTCGTCCCCACAAGCTGCACTTGTGACAGGGGTGGGAGCAACAGGGGGGCCTCCCCGCAAGATTAAAGAAGTCGTGCAGGTTCGTAGAAGGAAATGCGGTCGCGAAAGTAGCTGGTCCCAAACCGTTCAGGGCTTTGTAGGTGATAACCTTGAATTGGGACCGGAAAATAAAAGGCAGCTAGTGGAGCTCTTTGTAATAAACTACAGTTAGCAATCTGAGTATAGTAGAGTCTCGCTTATCCAACCTTCACTCGCCCAACATTCTGTATTATCCAACGCAATCTGCCTCCCGCCTGGATCAACAGCTGTTTCAATACATTGCAATGTTTTGGTGCTAAATTCGTAAATACAGTAATTACTACATAACGTTACCGTGTATAGAACTGCTTTTTCTGTCGATTTGTTGTAAAATATGTTTTGGTGCTTGATTTGTAATATCACAACATAATTCAACATTTAATATGTATTCCCTTAATCCCTCCTTATTATCCAACATTTTCGCTTATCCAATATTCTGCTGGCCTGTTTATGTTGGATAAGTGAGACTCTAGTGTATATCTGTGCGTATGTTTGTACCACTAAAGCTCCTAACATGGCTTGATGGATGTGGACCAGACTTGGCAATTAATCTTTTATTAATTGAATTAAAATAATTGAAGGGTTTTAACTTTAAAAACCATTCGGTTTATGGGGAGAGCCCCCAAAAACTTTTTTAAAATGTAGTGCTCAGATGCAACCACAAGATGGCAGTGTATATAATGGGCTATGTATTGTCGAAGGCTTTCGTGACTGGGATCACTGGGTTGTTGATGTCCTCAGAGGTTGTGAGGTCTGTTGGAAAGAGACTGGGCTATTTAAAACATACCTTGTCAACACTGGATTCTCAAGCCTTCCACATCCATGGATTTTGGTATAGTGCTCCCCTTTCCTGCTCAGAATGTAATAGTGGGGGGATCCTTTGCACTTGCTATTTCAATTTCCCACAAAAAAAAAGATTAACTCTTCTTTTGCTACCAAGCTGTCTGTCTTACTCGCAGCCTTTCCATAAACAAGCAGCAGACAAGAACGCTTCCACCACCATTCATAGAATCATAGAATTGGAAGAGACCTCATGGGCCATCCAGTCCAATCCCCTGCCAAGAAGCAGGAAAATCGCATTCAAAACACTCCCGACAGATGTCCATCCAGCCTCTGCTTAAAAGCTTCCAAAGAAGGAGCCTTCACCACACTCCGGGGCAGAGAGTTCCACTGCTGAACGGCTCTCACAGTCAGGAAGCTCTTCTTAATGTTCAGATGGAATATTCTTTCTTGTAGTTTGAAGCCATTGTTCCGCATCCTAGTCTCCAGGGCAGCAGAAAACATGCTTGCTCCCTCCTCCCTATGACTTCCTCTTATGTAGTTATACATGGCTATCACATCATGGATGGCATCCTTGAAGTGACTGGATTGACCTTGAAGGAGTTGGGGGTGGTGATGGCCGAGAGGGAGCTTTGGCGTGGCCTGGTCCATGAGGTCACGAAAAGTCCGAAACGACTGAACGAATGAACAACATCATGTCTCCTCTCAGCCTTCTCTTCTTTAGGCTAAACATGCCCAGCTCTTTAAGCAGCTCCTCATAGGGCTTGTTCTACAGACCCTTGATCATTTTAGTGGTCCTCCTCTGGACACATTGTGGTGCCCAGAACTGGACATAGTATGCTAGGTGTAGTCTAACCAAGGCAGAATAGAGAAGCAGCATGACTTCCCAAGGACAAATTATGCTGGTTCTATGAAACCTACCTCAATTCAAGCACTTATTGTTTCCAATTGGTCAATTTCGGTACTCAAATTTGCATAATATATGTAAGCAAGTTTAGATTGTCAAGAAAGATCTATATAAAGAATTTTATTGGTCCTGACGAACCGTTCGCAAGGTATGTAGTTTGGATTCGAAATATCGGCATAAATATATACCATCTGATTTTACTCACTGTAACCTGAAAATAATCTCTGAGGGAGGGTTTTTATACCAGCCGGAAGAGCCCAATCTTTCCATAGGACGTTCTGAAGACCTGCTCTCTAGGCTACAAGCAGAGGACGCTAGTTCCTCCTGGGTTTCGAACCCGCCTAGGGGAAAGTCCCCGGACCCCGGGCAGAGAGTGCCGCGCGCCTCCTGGTGCGCAACAACCTCTCTCGCGGGCTCGCGCATTTCCCGCCAAGAAGCCCTCAGGGCCGAGCGGGCGAGCGCGGGAGGGGCCCTTGTCACGCCCATAGTTACGCAGGTAGTGCGCGTGCGCGGCGTCTCCCTCCCCCAAAAGGGAGGCGGCGTCGCCACCGCACCAACAGAACGGGGCTCATTCTCGGGACGTCCGACCCTTTTGTAAAAACTACAATTCCCATGATTCCATGTACATTCAAAATGTGACACGCGATTTACTGTTCAGTGAATCATGGGATTTGTAGTTTTTACAAACTAGCTTTTCCAACCAAGGCGGCTCATTTTCCTATTTGAAATGCTGTGATTGCCTCCTGCAGAATTCTGGGACTTGTAGTTTAGGGCGTCTCTGGATGAGCAGTTTAAAGGTCTCTCCCTAAACTACAAACCCCAGAATTCTGCAGCATATAAAGTGGGAAAACAGGCCTGGGCAAATTTCTGCCCCTCCAGGTGTTAGGAATTGTGGGAGTTGAAGTCCAACACCGGGAGGTGTTTTTGGACGTCAACTCCCACAATTCCTAACACCTGGAGGGGCGGGTTTGCCCTAAAACTGCCCCCACGCGATTGTAGGCGTGGCCTTGCAGAGAAGCCCCGCCTCCCTGTTTGTCTTCCGACGTCACACCCTCCGGAGCCAATCGCGTCGCCCAGGCGGGGAAGGCGGGAGAATGCGAACGAACCGCGCCTTATAAGGACATAGCCTTGCGCATGCGTAGTTTAGTCGTTCAAGGAAAAAAAAGTCAGAGGAAGGAGAGGGGAGGGGGAGTTGTGCGCGGAAGGGGAAAAGAGGCGGGGAGTTCTAAGTGGAGGAGGAGGAGTAGAACCGAGACTCTTCCCCTTTTCCTTCCGGATTGAGAGTCGGGGGCTTGTTTTTTTTTGTCCCTTCCGGGCCCCCGTCTCTTTTCCTCCGAGAGATCCTTCCTCTGAGGGCGAAGGAGGGAGAGGCGCGTGATGATGTTGGGGTCGCCGGGGCAACAGCCTGGGGGGGCGGGGTCTGGGGCGGCGGTGTCGCCGGCGGCGGCGGCGGCTTCAGCGGGGTCTGCGTCGGCCGGCGTTGCTTCTGCCGTGGCCGGGGGAGGCTCTGGCGGCGTCGCCGGCTTCCCTTGCGGAGGAGGAGGAGGAGGAGGCGGAGGAGAGCGGTTCCTGGCTCGCTACGTCCAGGACTACCTGGAGTGCGTGGAGTCGCTGCCGCTGGACATGCAGAGGCTGGCCTCGCTCCTGAGGGAGATGGACACGCGATGCCGAGGTGAGAGAAAGAGTGAGAGGGTGACTGAGTGAGGCCTGCCTGCTCCAATCCAACCGCTCTTCCTTGAAAGGGGAGGGGCCACAGGCTCCGCCCACTTCGCCCTGGATGTGGAGGGGCCGCGAAAATGGCCACCCTCCGCCCTCCAGAGCAGCAGCCTTGGCATGGGCAAACTTGGGCCCTCCAGGTGTTTGGACTCCAATTCCCACCATTCCTAGCAGCCTCAGGCCCTTTCCTTTTCCCTCCAGGTGTTTTGGACGCCAGCTCCCACCATTCCTAACAGTCTCAGGTCCTTTCCTTTCGGTGTTTTGGACTCCAACTCCCACCACCCCTAATAGCCTCCAGCCCTTTCCCTCCATGTGTTTTGGACTCCAGCTCCCACCATCCCTAGCAGCCTCAGGCCCTTTCCTTTTCCCTCCAGGTATTTTGGACTCCAACCCCCACCATCCCTAACAGCCTCAGGCCCTTTCCTTTGCCCTTCAGGTATTTTGGACTCCAGCTCCCACCATCCCTAGCAGCCTCAGGCCCTTTCCTTTTCCCTCCAGGTATTTTGGACTCCAACTCCCACCATCCCTAACAGCCTCAGGCCCTTTCCTTTGCCCTTCAGGTGTTTTGGACTCCAACTCCCACCATCCCTAACAGCCTCAGGCCCTTTCCTTTGCCCTTCAGGTGTTTTGGACTCCAACTCCCACCATCCCTAACAGCCTCCAGCCCTTTCCTTTTCCCTCCAGGTATTTTGGACTCCAACTCCCACCATCCCTAACAGCCTCAGGCCCTTTCCTTTGCCCTTCAGGTGTTTTGGACTCCAACTCCCACCATTCCTAACAGCCTCGGGCCCTTTCCTTTTTCCTCTAGGTGTTTTGGACTCCAACTCCCACCATTCCTAGCAGCCCAGGCCCTTTCCTTTTCCCTCCAGGTACTTTGGACTCCAACTCCTACCATCCCTAACAGCCTCAGGTCCTTTCCTTTTCCCTCCAACTCCATCATTTCTAACAGTTTCAGGCCCTTTCCTTTTCCCTTCAGGTGTTTTGGACTCCAACTCCCACCACCCCTAATAGCCTCCGGCCCTTTCCCTTTCCCTCCATGTGTTTTGGACTCCAGCTCCCACCATTCCTAGCAATCTCAAGCCTTTTCTTTTCCCTCCAGGTGTTTTGGACTCCAAATCCCACCATTCCTAACAGCCTCAGGGAAAAGGAAGGGGCCTGAGACTGTTAGGAATGGTGGGAATTGGAATCCAAAACACCTGGAGGGCCCAACTTTGCCCATGCCTATTCTATAACTAGTTACTTACTTACTTACTTAGGCGATCCCTCGTAATTCAAAGATGATTGTCTTCCAGATGTGGTGTCTTGGTGGTGGGTCCGTAGGTGGTTGTGGAGTCCTATTCTTGGTCCGCATGTCCTCCCACAGTGAGGGCATAGGTTTCCAGACAGAAGGCAGTCCCCGTCAGGGTTGGCTTGATGCGCCGTCTTCTTGGCATGTTTCTCCCTTTTGCCCTCCATTGTGCCTCTTCGAATTCTGCAGTACTGCTGGTCACAGCTGACCTCCAGTTAGAGCACTTAAGGGCCAGGGCTTCCCAGTTCTCGGTGTCTATACCACCGTTTTTGAGGTTGGCTTTAAGCCCATCTTGAAATCTCTTTTCCTATCCACCAACATTCCGTTTTCTGTTCTTGAATTCGGAGTAGAACAACTGCTTTGGGAGACTGTGATCAGGCATCCGAACAATATGAGAGAAGAAAAAAAATGGGTTCCCCTAACACTGTGGAGACCAAAATCCACTGATTGTGGTAATATGAAAATAACTAAATTAACTCAATGTATATATTACAAATACACATATGTGTATTCGAACAATATGGCCAGTCCAGCGGAGGTGATGGCAGAGGAGCGTCGCTTTAATGCTGGTAATCGTTGCTTTCTCCAGCACACTGTCATTTGTCCGCCTGTCTTTCTGTAGCTCTAGTAGGCCCATCTAAAGTGTGAAGGTGAATGCAAACTTGACATTAAGCCTGGGTGTTGGCCTTCCACTCTTCTGGCAGGGAAGACTATCACGCCTTGTGAAACTACAACTTCCAAAGCACTCAGCCATGACAGTAGTTCAAGGAGTATCAAAACTGCATTCACTCTACAGTGTGGCCTTTGCGCAAGGAGAGAGCTTGTGGTGTCCCTGTCAGAAGGCAGCTTGACACTGCTTGAACTGTTCCATACTATGGAATACTGGGAGCTTTTGGCAGAAAAGGCTATAAAACCTTCTGAAACTACAGCTTCTATAGCACTTCTATAGCTACTTCCTTTCATATCACTGGTTAGCATTACTGCTTTAAAAGCACATGACTACTTCAACTTTTGATACTGCTCTTGAGAATTTTTCCATTGGGAGTTTGTGCTCCAAGACAAGTATGGGCAGCAGAAATAATTTCCCTAGGAAGGAGAGGCCTTGATCTCTTTTAGTATTCGGAATGACTCAGGAGACTAGGAATTTGCTTACAATCAAAGCTAGGAATAATTAACTCTCACCAAATTCAACACAATATATCCCAAATAATGGCCCATCAGGTTACAGCTTTAAAAAATTATTCCATATAGCTAGGTATAATTTTACAGTCATGTTGCCAAAGCATCAGTTTCTTCTCTTTCTTTTCCTTCTAACATTATGATGCCACTGCTGAGCTATTCATTCTGCTTACAGTTCTAGAGGCAGAGGAGGAATTTGCTGAGCAATTTATAGCCATCCTTGTAATGTTTACATTAGAAACAGCAACTTTAATGAACTCTTTTAATACAGTTGCTCATTGTTATTACCTTATGTACTAAATGGTTTATTAAATCTCAGTGATTGGATAGTTGCATTAAACAGGATTTATTGTGTATTGTGTTTTGCATTTTGTATTAAAATGTTTGTTGACTTGACAGTTTACAATATAGTTATATTGACTATTTCTTCTTGACAGAAGCATTAAAAGAAATTGATGAAGTTTATGAGAAGTACAAGAGCGAAGAGGATCCTGCTCAGAAAAAGCGTTTGCAGCAGCATCTTCAGAGGGCTCTGATCAACAGTCAAGAGCTCGGGGATGAGAAAATCCAAGTAGTCACTCAAATGCTTGAGCTAGTGGAGAACAGAGCCCGGCAAATAGAGTCCCATTCCCAGTGTTTCCAGGATCTGTCAGATACAGAAAAACCCATTGAAAAGTCAAAGGTCGATCCCTGCCAGCCAGAAAGATCTTCCCGAAGGCCCCGTAGACAGCGCACGAGTGAAAGCCGTGATATTTGCCATATAGCAAATGGAATTGATGAGTACGATGACCAGCCTCCTAAAGAAAAAAGATCCAAATCTGCAAAGAAAAAGAAGCGTTCTAAAGCTAAACAAGAAAGGGAAGCTTCACCGGTTGACTTTGCAGTAGACCCTAATGAGCCAACTTACTGTCTTTGCGACCAGGTGTCTTACGGAGAAATGATAGGGTGTGACAATGAACTGTGTCGCATTGAGTGGTTTCATTTTTCATGTGTTGGACTCACTTATAAACCAAAGGGGAAGTGGTATTGCCCCAAGTGCAGAGGAGACAATGAGAAGACTATGGATAAATGTACAGACAGATCCAAAAAAGATAGAAGATCGAGGTAGTCAATGTTCCGAGTGCACTGAGAGTTGTGTCATTTTTTTTATTAAAAACTGTTTAATAAGCGACTAGTATTTTAGAATAATGCATAAAACTATGCAATAATTTTTAAAGTCTACAGAACTAAATGGGATATTAATAGCTGTTAGTACATTTTGTGCTTTGAATATTCTGCACTAAATAACCAAATTCTTCAAGCCGGGTCACGTGGTAGTAGCACAGGGGTAATTAAAGATTCTTTGTCCCTCCGTGTTTTTAATTGCAGAGTTAATGGTGATACCTGATGAAGAAGAACCGAAGGGATAATCATGTTAAGAATAGTGTGTCGGCATCTATTTAATTTGAAACTTTAGTCTGTTATGACTCATTCTTTTGACTTCCTGTTAGTTCTGTGATGAGTTTATTCATCTGGGTGTTGTAGATAATACTTTGAATTGGGATCTATTGCCTGACTTTACATTTTAAGTCTTACCAAGTAAAAAGCTAAACTTATTTTTTCCCTTCCATGTGATCACTGTACGTGTTGTTAACTTATTTTATGTTTCCCACGTGAGTTTAGGGTCTGTTTTGAGAAAATATTTTAAACAATGAAATACTTACGGCAATGGTTCTCAACCTGTGGGTCCCAGATGTTTTGGTCTTCAACTCCCAGAAATCCTAACAGCTGGTAAACTGGTTGGGATTTCTGGGAGTTATAGGCCAAAACACCTGGGGACCCACAGGTTGAGAATCACTGACTTAAGGCTTAGAAGAGGTTCACTCAGCACTATAAGGACAGTCCTGAACTGAAGCTACTAATTTCCCCCATTTTACTGCTTGGCTTCCTAATTCCTGTTGTGCCATGTCACTGTTGATTCTTTAGATGATGGCAGGAACATATAATCATGTTCAAAGAGGTTCAAAAGGTGCATATGTAGAAGAACAGCTGTCAGACTGTGGATGATTAGAAACGTTTACCTGGATTAGCATATTAATAGGTCTTCCTGCTTTTCTGGGCTTTCGAAGCTGAATAAAATACAGTAATAGTAATAACAAAAATAAAAATGCTCCCTTGCAAAAGAGTTCTACAATAGGTGTGGCTTTAGTAAATGGAGGAACTGTTCTCCAGTAATGGAGTCCTTTTTAAAACAAAACCAACTGTACACATAAGGAATCAGAATACATCTTTGGAACAGATAGTGAATTATTTTGTTTCAGTATCGGGTATTTATTAATAGGATTCTTCATGCCAGATTTAATGATAAAAGATATAAAAGGCCTGGTTGATTAACATGGTGCTACAAGTTTTTTCAGATAATAAGCATCCCTTCCCAACAGGTAGAAGGGTTCTTTTTGCATTTAATTGATATTTAATATGCATGTAAGACATTAGCAGTGTAATGTAAAGGGTTAAAGAGCCCATGAACAAATTCAAATATTTAATTTTTACTTTCACCTTGACAAATGTAAAAATGTAGTCACTTTTTTTTGAAAAGGTTCTGAATATTACAAAAAAAGCTTTTGATGACAAACTGACCCAGATACTTTGCTGGAAATTGAGTCATTTAGTCAGAATGAGACACAGTATACATAAAACCCAGTATACTGCCCTGCTTAAAAGGAATTGCTGTTGTGACACATTTTGATTGCTAACTGAACTGTTACATCTGTGCTCTGTCAAGGAGCAGAGTGCTGGTTTTATGCAATCTGAAATGGTGGCTGATACATGAACAATTTCCCAGTAAAAACAGAGTAGTGTTATTTCATAAATATTATGTCTTCGGTGGTTAAGGTGAAACTAATTTTCAGTTCATAATACAGCTTTAAATGTCACTTTAGTTTGACTGTTTACTGCTCTGTCTTCCTCCATGCTTGAAACAAAATCATGTAATGGTCAAGAAAATGTAAGTTCCAAACTGCTAACAGACTGTTGCTCTTCCAATGTCTCTCTGGACAAGCCAGGAAAAGAGAGTAGGTGTTGTATAATAACTTGATCCCAGCTAATGGAGTGGGACTTTGAATGAATGGTTACTAGGCTAGTTTATGCATAAGATCATAATCCACAACTTTTGTTGTTCATAAGCAATCTACTTGTATAATTCAGCCCTGTTTGGAGGTACAGTAATTCTGCAACCAGGTAATTGTGTGCATTTCATCAGATCCTAAAATGGGAATACCCTTACAAGTCCCTACACGTTTAATGCTTCCAGTGAAAACCTGACTTTTAATCCCACTTCAGTAAAATGTTTCCCTTTTTAAAGAAAATGTCATTGCTATCAACTCCTGTTTTGTTTTTAAAATAACTTTGCTTGCTGTGGTTTGACAATCTCCCTGTTGATTCAGAGTTTTATAAACTTATGCCCATGGAGACGAGAGATGTGCCATTAGAGTGTAACTGTTTCTTGGGCCTAGTATTTCGCATGCAATGGCTTCTTAATAAAAACCATTTTGGTTGTAAACATAGAACACAATGTTTGTTATGTTGGCCTTTTAAAAAATAATGTCCTTCTAGGCTTGGATCCAAAGAATTGCTGTGTGTACAGAAATTGCCATGCAATTACAAGAAGACAGTCCAAGTTTTGCTCTCACATTATAGCTTGTCTTTATTACAGCAAATTTAATTCCAGATCATATCATATATTTAGGTTGGGATGATTGAAAAGCACAACTCAGTTCTTTCCTTTGTCTGGCAACTCTCTTGAACAATAGCCAACCCCAACCTCTGATGCTAAAATACTGGTGCATAGTTAATCTGATTATTGATATCACTGGTCAACACACATTTTGGTGCCTCAAATGTTAGACTTTTGGGGAATATTTGACCTGCAGATTCCAAAAATGACACCAGTTTTTCCTTATTAGCGCTATTTTTCAAATAAAGACCATAGTCCATATAGCAGTCTTCATCTCTTCACCTATTTATTTATTTACCTTACTTATATACCGCTGTTCTCAGCCCGAAGGCGACTCACAGCGGTTCACAACAAATACGAACAGCAAAAATTCAGTGCTACAGTATAAAAACAGTTAACAACCTAACACATTACACAATTAATAAACAGTTACTACAATACCCATTCACTGTCGTCTCATCATCAAAAACATGTTCCAGATTCGTCATCCATTGTTCCATTCCAGTGTTCATTAACCAATCATTGCACTAATTATTCGAACGCCTGCTCAAAAAATATGGAACGCTTCACGAATTTGCGTGTCATCCTTGCGCAGGGGCCATGCCAATCTTCTCTGTATCGTTCCAATTTTAGTATATGTGCTGCCGAAGCGACCTATAAGAAATCATGATAACCATACATAGAATCATAGATTTGGAAGTGAAATTAATGGGCCATCCAGTTCAACCCCCTCTCAAGAAGTAGGAAAATTGCATTCAAAGCACCCCCAACAGATGGCCATCCAGCCTCTGCCACACTCTGGGGCAGAGAGTTCCACTACTTAACAGCTCTCACAATTAGGGGGTTCTTCCTAATGTTCAGGTGCAATCTCCTTTCCTGTAGTTTGAAGCCATTGTTCTGCATCCTAGTCTCCAGGGCAGCAGAAAAAAAGCCTGCTCCTTCCTCCCTATGACTTCCTCTCACATATTTATACATGGCTGTTATGTCTCCTCTCAGCTTTCTCTTCTGCAGGCTAAACATACCCAGCTCTTTTAAGTCGTTCCTTCTAGGGCTTGTTCTCTAGACCCTTGATCATTTTAGTCACCCTCCTCTGGACACATTCCAGCTTGTCAATATCTCACTTAAATTGCAGTGCCCAGAATTGGACACAGTATTCCAGGTGTGGTCTGACCAAGGCAGAATAGAGGGGTAGCATAAATGCCCTGGATCTAGACACTATACTCCTATTTATGCAGGCCAAATTCCCATTGTCTTTTTTTAGCTGCCACATCACATTGTTGGCTCATGTCTAACTTGTCCATGTCTAATCTTTTTCACACGTACTGCTGTTGAGCTAGGCATCCCTCATTCTGTATCTTTGCATTTCATTTTTTCTGCCTAAGTGGAGTGTCTTGCATTTGTCCCTTTTGGACTTCATTTTGTATTGGCCCATCTCGCTAATCTATTACCTAAGAACCTAGAGCTAATGCGGTATAGCCAATGTAATTTTCCAAATTAGCATCCCAAATAACCCCAGGAACAGGCTTAAAAACCAACACACAAAGATTTGTTGTTGGACTATATTCATCCTGACTTTTTTGGCTGTGTCTATATGATGTGCTCAGTCATGTTCAGGTTCTATTTTGTGATTATGATAAATAGTTCTGTCATTACCCTGATACATGCAGTTTGAAATGGTCAGTGTAGATGACAAACAAAATCATATGCAAGACATTTTAATTTGCTTATGCTTCGTTTCTTATTTCGCTGAAAAGGTTTTTTACATAACTTCAGACTCCTCTTCGCTGCTTGACGATTCTTCTCCAAACAAATCTGTTCCTGTCAAACTTGCAGCAGCGTTGAGGCTCAGCAATTTCAAGGTAATAAGAGTAGGGCTGTCAGTCAAACCTAAAAGAATTGCTTTTCTATCCAAGGCAAGAGTCAAGCAGGAGATTTTGCTGTCTGGTGTGAAGATGGATATAACTGTGCCACTCTCCAAGTCCCACAGACTGACCTCACCTGAAGGAGAAAAGTGAATATAATACTCCATTGTGATTTTTTTCCCCTCTTACTTTAATGAGTTACTCTTCTTATTCATACTGATTAAATCCATAGCTGAAAAACAGAAAGCAGTATATCTGTGTGGATTTACACTTAGTTAAGAACAGGAGCAAGACAACAGGAAGTGGGAGAAATCTACTCCTAGGAAGGGAAATTCACTCCTAAAAGAGTTGTCATGGGGAAAAGCTATCTCTACTGAAGCTCTCTCACCAATCCTTGTTTATCTACCAATCTCTGTGGATATCAGTTCACTGAAAGTCTACTGTAAGAAGACATCCAAATATATTGTTGAAGGCTTTCATGGCCGGAATCACTGGGTTGTTGAAGGTTTTTTGGGCTGTATGGTCAAGTTCTAGAAGCATTATCTCCTGTCGTTTCGCCTGCACCTCTGAAGATGACTGCCACAGATGCAGGCGAAACGTCAGGAGAGAATACTTCTATGGCCATACAGCCTGAAAAACCTACAACATCCCAGACATCCAAATGTTATTAAAGTTCAACTGTCTAAATAAAACATTAGTTCAATTCAAGGGGAAAATCCTAACCTTCAATTCATAGTTGAGAGAATGGTAATGTTGAATTATGCTTTCTCCCTTTTCTTGGTTTTCTCTAACTATGGTAAGGTCCAGGTCAGAGAAAAGATATTTAGCATTAATCTGTTACTTGCCCTAAAGAGGTGGTTCCCAACCTGTGGGTCTCCAGGTGTTTTGGCCTACAACTCCCAGAAATCCCAGCCAGTTTACCGGAAATTTTTGGGAGTTGAAGTCCAAAACACCTGGGGACCCACAGGTTGCGAACCACTGACCTAAAGCATAGTTCAAAGTGAATTGGCAAACCATTATTGGACATTAATTACTGGTTCGTTTTTGTATATTAACAACAGCTTGTGATGTAGTGGCATGGGAAATCGGTGTGAATAAACTAGGAAAATTTATAATGGTGGAATCGACAAGCGATGCCTTCCCAGCCTTCCTGCCCTTGTCTCTTTTATCTCTTAATTGGATTATAATTGGAAGGATTGAGCCATTTAGAACCCAGTTTACTTCCCAGCAACTTTCCATCTACTCTCTATCTGGTTCCTAGTCCTTGACTACTCCTTGCCTTTCAGGTGGTATCTCAAATAATTGTGAGTCTAGCTTCAGCACTTAAAAGTTTTGATAAACAAGCCAGCATTGTACATAAAAACTCAATGCAGGAGCCAGAGTGTAGACAAAGGACACTGGAGAACTAAGGTGGATAAGTGAAAGGTCTTTCAGAAAGCCCAATACTGGTTTGTGATCTAAAATATGGCCCCTGTTTAATTTTTTTTAATTTGCCATATGGCCACAGGATTACCACTGTTCAATTAGCTTCTATTAGATTATGCTGAGTAATGAGACAGTGATGTAGACTAATTGGACATTAATTCAATTACATGCTAATTAGATGATGCTGAGTAGTGGAAGATTACTTTGGTTATTGTAATAGAGCAAATTAAAATCGTCCTCCATTGAAGTATTGGAACGAATGTATGGAAATGAAATTTTTCATTCTTCTGTGTTATAGTGGGCATTTTTTAAAATGATGATGGTAATAATAATAATAATAATAATACTAATAATAATAATAATAATAATGTAATTCAGAATTTTCCTATACCCTCTCCCCTTGTGGCTGCAGTCCCAGCAGCTCTTTCCCCAAAGTCCTTGTACTTATTATGCTGGCACCAACCTATGCCAGCATAGCTATATTCAGCTACTTTGTCCTATTTATCTACCTAAGCTAGCGCCAAGACAGCATAATTCAGTTGAATCACTACTAATGAGACAAACTTCCATTAAAACCATTTTGTTCAAGTGTGATAAAGTTTCTATTTCAGTGAATGTTCTCTGGCTGCGTTTGATAGTTTTCTTCAGTTGGAATATTCTTTCTAATATCCAGACAGGCAGATCTACTCAGTTTAAGGAGTATATTACTTGTTCAGGGGAATACATTTATTTATTTGTGACATTTTTACCCCGCCTTTCTCCACCCTGGAGGGGACTCAAGGTGGCTTTACACATAGGCAACTATTTGATGCCTTAAAAATGTAGAAATAAACATTTTAAAAATAGAATTATAAAATACATTAAGACAATTAAAAACATTTAAAACAATACATCCACAATTAATGACACAATCCACAACACAGTCCAGGCCGTCCCAATAGTCATTGCACATCATTTCCTATCTATGTATTGCACAAGTTCTCCAAAAGCTTGGTCACAAAGACTTTGGTCACAAATCCATGTACATAAAACATGTATTTACAGTATTTATATACTGCCTTTCTCACCCCTGGGGAGACTCAAAGCGGAGTCATTGATGTTTTGTTTTTTAAAAAAATCAGGATTTAAAAAATGATACATACAAGTAACCACAGGCAAGGCATACCATAGGTTATTGCCCAATAATAATAATAATAATAATAATAATAATAATAATAATAATTACTATTATTATTATTATTATTATTATTATTATTATTTGTGGAACTTGTGCCACAAATACCATCTACCTGCGACAAAGAACTAGTGGCATCACAAGCTTGAAAAAGTTACAGAAAATGAACACGTCAAACTATTCTGGCACTTCTGAATTCAGACTGAGTTTTGGAGCACAATCTCCTGACCTCACGATCGTGTTTAAAAACCAAATATGGATTGTCGATGTTGCAATCCCAGGCGACAGCAGGATCGAAGAGAAACAACTGGAAAAGCTGACACGATATGAGGATTTAAAGATCGAACTGCAAAGACTCTGGCAGAAGCCAGTCAAGGTGGTCCTAGTGGTGATCGGCAACAACCAGCATAGTGATCTTGTTTGTTGTGTACTACTCTTGTTGTGTTTCAAATAATAAGCAAGTAAGATGATACTTAGGGACTGGGTTTCAGCACAGCAGATTAACCACCAGCTGCAACAAATCTTGCCAATCAAAGGGTTGGCAGTTTGAAGCCTGGGTTGAGAGTGAGCGTCCGACCTTCAGCCCTGCTCACGGCCCACCTAGCAGATTGAAACAGTAGATAAATAGGTATCACTTAAGCGGGGAGGCATTTTAATGGCATCATAAGGAAATACCAGAAAAAGAAATGCTAGCAGTTTGATCAAAAGGAGGAAGTCTGCGAACAGGGTTCTTTGGCATGGTGGATGGAGCAACAGCACCCCCTCCTGGCCAGAATCGAGCACAACCTCCAAAACGTCGAAGATGGGAAAAGCCTATATACCTCTATCTGAGTACTGTGTCTGTCGTGTCAGTGTATAACGGTATTGAATGTTTGCCGTATATGTGTTCTGCGATCCGCCCTGAGTCCCCTTCGGGGTGAGAAGAGTGGAAAATAAATACTGTAAATAAATAAATGAATGAATGAATGAATAAAATACTAGTATTGTAACAGTTCAGTACAATGGGGGAAAATGATATCAGAAAAGTCCCTTGCCTACAATTGGTGATGCTAATATAAAACCATAGTTGTTACAGTTAAGTTTTGTTTTATTATGAAAATTTTGTCCCTCGACAAAACATAACAATGGTGAAGTAATTTGTGCATATCAATATTTCTGTCTTTAAAAGGCACTTCACTGGAATTTTTAGAAACCATCTTTACTTTATTGTCAAGTGATAAAGCAGCCGGTTTTAGGAAATAACACAATTTGTAAAAGAAAACTGCATTCTGGCACATCAGAATAAAAGTAATGGCGGAAAGTGCATATTTTCATGACCTCCTTTCCCCTGTGATGCCATTTCAGGATATAAATACCTGCAAGGAGGATAGCTTTTGTGCTATCTAATATCTGTAATTTGCTGTTCACATTCAGGTGAAGGCCTTCATAACCTTGAAATAACTTGTGTTTGTGCTTAAATGGATCCCAAAGCTTTATCCTAAAAAAAACATGAAAAGCAAATTTCATCAGCTGTATTTTTTAAATGTATAACTCAATCTAAAACTTAAAATCCAAGTAAAACTTTCACAGTTAGTTCATTCAACAACTCAGTTGCTCTGAAGCTTAACTAGGCTAATGTTGAACAGTGATGCAATTGAATGATAGGCTATTGAGTTCTTTTTTAGCATTTAAATTAAAAATGTCCATAATACCGTAGGATACTATTGCCAAGAGCTGAATTACATTTGCCACATGCAGGGCACTGCAGTGCTGCACCTCCTCACTATTCAGCTCCTTCATGCCATCCTCAAAGTTTGGGAAGCAGAGAAAATAAATCAAAATACAACCTGGCAAAATGGCACTATTTAGAAGAATCTCCCACCTTCAGCAACTGTGGAGCAGAACAAACTACTCAGATTTTGTAAGTCAAATTGAATTGATTCTGTTCCTGTAAAATTGCTCTGTTTTCATGATATTTCCTATGCTATCATGCATTTTCATCCACCTTATTGAACCAATTATTCTTTAATCAGCCCATATTTTGGCCTTTCTCCCTCCTTTAAACTAGTTTTTGTTGCTTGATACTTCTCTATTATTGTTATGTTGTTTTATGCTTTTTAAATTGTATTTTGTTATTGCTTTGCTTTTAATTGTATGTTGCCTGGGCTTGGCCCCATGTAAGCCACCTCGAGTCCCTTCGGGGAGATGGAGGTGAGGTAGAAAAATAAACAACTACTTCTTCTTCTTCTTCTTCTTCTTCATATGCATGCTTGTCCACAATGCTCTGCCTTATGCACAGAGGAAGATTTGTTTAAAGCTACAGAAAATGTGGCAGCTGTTGCCTGTTTTTGGTCAAAAGTTATTTAGTCGCTTACGTTCCCTCTATTTTTATCAGTTTTATACTTATTTATGCAATGCTTTTGACATAAAATAAATAAATTTGCGCCACGGAGCCCCACCAGAAGTAGATTGATGTCATGGGATGGGAGCCCATGACATCGACAGACAATTTTGCCTGTCTGATTAGGCCCTAAAAGTAGTATGTCTCAGTAAGCAGTAATAACTGATTTCTTGCTGTGTTTCAGTTTTTTCCACAAGAAGAAATGACTCCCCTGAGGGGCCCCTGTTGATCTCTTATAAGATGACATTGAGTAAGTCATACTCTCAAAGCAAACTTCTTCTGAACAAATCTTGCCAAGAAAACACTCTGATGGATTATCAGAAGTTGAAGGCACACAACAATAAACAACAAAAGGCTTAACACCATTGTGACAAGAGTGGTCCCCAAGATCAAGATGGAAAAACCATAAAATGCAATGTGACAAGCTAGAAGCATTTTTGGTGCACTTCCACCCTGATGAAACAGGCAAGTTTACTGAGCAACTTTTGATCATATTCCTGAGATAGGCTGCTACTTCTTACATTTTTGGTATCTGGAATGGCAAAAAATAGGCTTCGAGTATATGGGAACGACTCCTTCTGAGTTTCTCTTAAATCCTTACTTATCAGACTAGAGCAGCCAGCACGTGCTGAAATCAACATTTAAACTGGGCGACACAATCAAATCCAGTTTTTAATTCAATTTAAAAACAGTTATTTCTAAAATGAAACAATTACTTCTGAAGTAAAATAATAGAGTAGCAAATCCATTAGTTAACGAAACATCTAGATCGATGGTTCTCAGCCTTCCTAATGCCACAACCCTTTAATATAGTTCCTCATGTCGTGGTGACCCCAACCATAAAATTATTTTGTTGTTATTTCATCACTGTAATTTTTCTACTGTTATGAATGTAATGTAAATATTCGATATGCAGGATGTACGAGGGCAGGCAAAAAGTTTTGCCTCCTGTGTCATAAAAACATTATAAATGAACATATAACAGCAGAAGTTGCTATAGATCATAGCCTGAACTATCCTCTACACAAAACTACTGTTCAACATGTTGTTCATTCGTGGGCTGCTCATGAACCAGCCCACGCCAGAGCTCCCTGTCGGCCATCACCACCCCTAGCTCCTTCAAGGTCAATCCAGTCACTTCAAGGATGCCATCCATCCATCTTGCCCTTGTTCGACCCCTCTTCCTTTTTCCTTCCATTTTCCCCAGCATAATTGTCTTCTCTAAGCTTTCCTTTCTTCTCATGATGTGGCCAAAGTACTTCATCTTTGCCTCTACTATCCTTCCCTCCAATGAGCAGTCGGGCTTTATTTCCTGAAATATGGACTGGTTGGATCTTCTCGCAGTCCAAGGCACTCTCAGAACCTTCCTCCAGCACCACAGATCAAAAGCATCTATCTTCCTTCACTTAGCCTTCCTTATGGTCCAGCTCTCACATCCGTAGGTGACTATGGGGAATAATACCATTGCTTTTACTATGAGGATCTTCGTTGCCAGTGTGATGTCTCTACTCTTCATATATACACAGAATATGGGTTGGTTCCATATGAGAGATGTCCACAGATATGTATGTCTTACCAGACATGTTAATTTAAAAGATGATTAACTAGCCAAGCATAAATGTGAAGAATCGCCAAATTTAGGCATTTTTACCTACTTGTTTTCCAGCATCACACCAAAAATTATTCTGCTACCATCATCAGTTATGGCCGTACAGCAGACGTTTGGCTCATTTTTTAATCTTTTCCTGACCTATAATGAAAAATGTTTTAAACACACCAGTTAAGCACTGATTTCTCTTTCATAGGTAACTTACACATCATAAAGCCTAGTATCTGGGGCTATATTTTCCTGTATATTTGCAAATGGCCAAGTGCCTCATTTACAGCAATGTTGTTCCTATCCTCTCTCACCATCTTTTAAGTTTTGTATTGATTCACTTTCTTGATTCGCTTTTAACGTGTGATGTTTTAATTGGTTTTACTCCTTGTGTGTATTAGAAATAATACCTTTCCTGTGACTAAATTCCATAGGGTTACATAGCTGATTTTCTCCTCCTCGCTGTAATTCGAGAGCACTAAGTAATGGCCATCAAAGGTCAAGGCTGCATTGTGTAAGAACAGCATAGATTCTCTGCTCTCAAGAGTGCGGAGATGGGACATCGTTTCCAGGCTGAACACAGACAGGTGATGTGCATAATAGGAGCACACTGCTACCTAGGAAAAGAGTAGGGTGCCATTAAAAGTTTATTGATCACCTCCGCGCAACTTATTTATTTACTTACTTACTTACTTACTTACTTACAGTACTTATATTCCGCCCTTCTCACCCCAAAGGGGACTCAGGGCAGATCACAGAACACATATATGGCAAACATTCAGTCCTGATTATACAATGACCAGACAGACAACAATATAGAGGTATATTTAGGCATTTTCTTATCTTTCAGCATCTTTTGGAGGCTGTGCTTGGTTCTGGCCACAGTGGGGTGCTGTTGCGCCATCTCCTTTCTGAAGAGCTTTCTTTGTTCGTAAACTTTCCTCCGAAACACCATGCCTAAACTACCTCCCCACTTAATGTGGTTCCTATTCATCTACTCACATTGCTGTTTGCGATCCACTAGGTGGGCGGGGGAGCTGGGCTGAAGTCAGGAGCTCACCTGGACCCGACTTTGAACTGTCAACCTTTCAGTTGGCAAGATTAACTACAGCTGCAGTTGGTGATTAACCTGTTTTTGGATCTGAGAATTGGGTAAACAGCCTCTTCTGGATGGGACTACATTCCCTCTATAAAGATATAGGAACGTAGCTTGAGAGTGCTCCTTGTCACTGAGGCCCAAGTGGAATCTGTGGTGTGAAGTGCTCCATGCCAAATTCAACTACTGTACCAGTAGAAAATGGGGTTGGACTGGATGGCCCATGAGGTCGCTTCCTGCACAGAGATAACCTAGCCATAGTACTCCATGTACTAGTAGCCTCCTATTTAGAATACTACAATGTACTGTATGTGGGGCTGTCTTTGAGGACTCATAAGCTACAGTTAGTGCAAAATGCAATGTGGAGTATTATATAGAAAGCATATCATGCAAGTCTCAAAATAATTGCACTGACAGCTCATAAATTTGCAGTCTGTTCAGAGTACTTGTGATGACATTTAACAGCTTGGGATCTTGATATTTATGGGAATGCTCTCCTCATATGTGCCTGCCCAAGGGTTAAGATCTGCTGGTAGGATGGGTGGGAGGTGACGGAACTCCTTTGTGTCCCATCAGTGAGATCTATGTGTTGGGAGATGGGAGAGGGCTTTCTCAGCCATGGAAGCCCAACTATGGAATGCCCTGGAGGCTCAGTTAGCATCAACACTCGTTATTTAGGCATCAAAGTCTTTGGGCCTCATTAATTCCTCCCAGATTTGGTGTGCACAATTTTAAATTGTTTTGAAAATGTTTAAATCTGTTTCCAACTTATTATTATTATTACTATTACTATTATTATTATTATTATTATTATTATTATTATTACTATTCTTGGCAGTGGCTAGGGGAGTATTTGCACAATTAAAACTTGTGCGCCAGTACCTTGGGAAGTCCAACTTGGCCACAGTAATCCACAGTCTTGTTACATCCTGAATAGATTACTGCAATGCACTCTACGTGGGATTGCCTTTGAAGACTGCTCAGAAGCTTCAACTAGTCCAATGGGCAGCAGCCAGGTTGCTCACCAGAGCAGCCTACATGGAGCATACAATCCCTCTGTTATGCCAGCTCCACTGGCTGCCACTGTGTTATCGAGCACAATTCAAAGTGATGGCTGTAGCCTATAAAGCCCTGAACGGTTCTGGCCCAGCTTACCTGTCCAAACATATCTCTCACTATGAACCAGCATGAAGGTTAAGATCATCGGGGGAGGCCCTGATCTCGATTCCCACCATCCTCGCAAATGCGACTGGTGGGGACCAGAGACAGGGCCTTCTCAGTGGTGGCCCCTCATCTGTGGAACTCCCTTCCAAGTGACATCAGATTAATCTCCTCCCTCCTGTCATTTCGAAAAAAAACTTAAAACATGGTTTGGGGACCAAGCGTTCGAGCAGTAGATGCAACAATCAAGAATGAGATTGATTCTATGTGACAATGGACTGACTTGGATTATTATTTTGAAATTATGTTCAATTATAATAATTTAATTGTAATTGTTATTTATAAATTGTGTGGTGGCATTGAATGGTTGCCTTTTGTGAATCCGCCTTGAGTCCCCTCCTCCCCTCCCCCAGGGGTGAGAAGGACGAGGTACAAATATACTAAATAAATAAATAAGTTACTGAAGTTTAATATGTTTTAGTTCCATTGTTTTAAACTGCACAGCTTGTTTTAAAGCTTTTTGTAAGCCTATCTGAGATCTTTGATATGCATATAGAGCAGGTATAAATATTTTAATAAAATCTATATAAATAAAATGTAATGTTCGTTTGTGGGATTAACATAACTCAAAAACCACTGGATGAATTGACACCAAATTTGGACAAAATACACCTGTCAGGCCAATGAGTGACCATCATTCATAAACACTGAAAAACGTAGTGGAAAAGACCTCAAAAGCAAAAAAATTTAGAATACATTACAACGCATGCGCAAAACCACATATATACACAGACACACATACATTCACATATAAAACACATATACACAGACTGGGCCACAGCAATGCGTGGCAGGGGACGGCTAGTAAATAATAAACTTTTCATTGGAGAAAATAGGTAAAGTGGGAAAGCGGACAGGAAGAATCAGTAAAAATTCCCATTTCACAGTTCCTTCCACAAGAAGCAATAGTAATCTTAAAGCTGCTATTATGATTTTTACACATCTGAATAAAATATGGCGACATGCTACATAAAATAGAACAAACAGAAAAACCTTGTCTACAAGTTTTCAATATATAAATAAGGGCGACAGCTCAGTTTTTTTTTAAACTCAAATAATATCAATGTTTGATTATGCTCCTAATTTATGACCGAGCTTCAGAATTACCATGTTAAAGGTCGCAATAATTTCATTTTAGGATAAATCTGTCTAAAAAGATAGCAACAGCTTGTTTTTCAAAGGTTTATAATCTCAAACAGGCATCACATGCCATAGCTGTGCTTCAGTTTTAAAAAAGCAAACTTCTTGTGTATTGGCATTTAAGTAAATAACAGCACTTAGAATGATGTATCTCACCTTTTCATTTCCACTCAGGAGGTACTGATCAATAGCATTGCTCTTCTCCTTGGCTAGCTGTTGTAACATTTCCACCTCCAGTTTTCCTGCCTTCTCTCGTCTCCTTTTCTGTGCAGTGCTTGTTTCATTTCGCCTTTCCCAAGGAAGCCATAATGCTGAGATAAAAGCAAGACACACATATGTAACTTATATTGTGACTTTATCCTTGATGCTAAGAGATTGTAATAGTTGTACACCATCTTCCTGCTTAGGTAACATTGGATACACATTCATCATGCTGCAAGCTAACATTCGAGATGGGAGATCCAGAACATTGCTCTAGGCTGCCCCAAGGGCTTGCATGTTCTTGGCCTTCTTGGATAAGTAAAATGACACTCCCTATTAATCAGTTCCCCAACTTTCCCATAATTATTTGTGTCTTGTCTGAATTAGCTTAAATTTATTAAATCCTTGATCTAATCAATTTCACTGCGCCTTTTTCCTGTCTTTTTGCTTATGTGTGTGAATGACCACCAGACTCCAAGAATTAGGTGGTACAAGTAGGGTTCTGTTCAAGGTTTACATATTGAGCATTACTGTACATCGTAAAACAACCGTATTAGCTATGTAGCTTAATTATGAACTATCTATTACGTCTTCCCTGCAATTACTGGATGCCGCTGCTCATCAGTAATCTTGCACATAATGATCAGTTTCAATTTCAGCAGTAAGGAGAATGAAATGTTTGAAACCTGTTATTTCTTTACACAATCCTCCTTTGTTTAATTTTGTGTTTTCCCTGGGCAAGGAATGGTTGGGATGAGTAGCTTGCAAGGCAATGTTGTTTTTGTATTGAGGCCTGATCCGATTCTTAATCAATCCTGTTTCCAAATTCCACGTGATAAAATGGTCTCTGAAAATATATTACCAACCAAACAGAGCAATCAGAACTTGTGTCATACTGATTTTCCAAAGTTTCAGACTGAATACAAAACTAACTTTACCTAACAATGTCCAGGCAGTCCCTGGGTTACAAACATCTGACTTACAAACAACTTAGAGTTGGGATGAGACAACAGGAAGGGAGAGAAATCCAACCCTAGGAAGAGAAATTTACTGCAAGAATAATGATAATGGCAAAAAGGTGTCTCAGCTGGAGCTTTATCCCCAATCTTTGTTTCCACAACAAGCCAAATGTTTCAGAATCCTATTATCACAGGGATAGAAAGGAAAGAGAAATCTTCCAAACTGGGGCACAGACAGCAAAACAAACACCACAGGATTATTAACCCTTCCCTATGCTATCCAATGCATGCCTCTCTTTCTGTATATACACACAAACATGTGTGTATGGCGCTCCATGCAGTCATGTCAGTGACATGACCTTGGAGGTGTCTACGAACAATGCCAGCTCTTTGGCTTAGAAATGGAGTTGAGCACCAACCCCCAGAGCCGGATTTGACTGGACTTAATGTCAGGAGAAAACCTTTACCTTCATCTATCTCTACACACGCGCGCGCGCGCGCGCACGTGTGTGTGTGTGTGTGTGTGTGTGTGTGTGTGTGTGTGTGTGGTGGAGCCCCAGTGGTGCAGTGGGTTAAACCCTTGTGCCGGCAGAACTGAAGACGGACAGGTCGGAGGTTCAAATCCATGGGGTATATGTTCCTGAACTTCCCGTGGATATGCAGAACTGCAGATAATAGTAAACCCTATTGAAATGAAGGACTTTTGGCCCAAAATACCATCAAGTCATGCTGGAGGGAGAGCCCCCAGTGGCGCAATGGGTCAGATGTTCGAATTCTGGGAGAGTGTGGATGAGCTCCCTCTGTCAGCTCCAGCTCCCCATGCGATGACATGAGATAAGCCTCCCAGAAGGATGGTAAAATATCAAAACACTTGGGCATCCCCTGGACAGCGTCCTTGAAGACAGGCAATTCTCTCACAACAAAAGCAACTTGCAGTTTCTCAAGTTGCTCCTGACATGAAAAATTATATATGGCTAGAGTTACACTTAAAAAATGTACCTGTTGCGGCTTACAAACAAATTCAACTTAAGGACAAACCTACAGAACCTTGTTTGTAACTTGGGGACTGACTGTACAAAGAATGGGAAAAGGTTCTCATTTTAACAATATATTCTATCTTGTAAAAGAAAAGAACTTCCAGCACAACAAAAATACTCTACAGTGAGTTGAATCCAGGGTTATGCATGCGCTGTGTGAAACGGACATCATTCCTTTGCTATATTTTGTTTGTTTATTCTATAAAAAAAATTCATAGTTTGTGGTCGACAGAATTTTCAGTTCACCATGTTCTTGGCTGAGTTTCAAAATCTCATGGAACGGTGGAGTTATTCTAACCATACTTTCAGCTGATGCACCCATTCCTATCTATGTAGTAATAAAATAAATAGCACATTTCCTTCTCAGTAGCAGCAAAAATGTTACCTGTTCTCTGAGAGACCAAGTAGAAGGCCTCCTTCAAGAATCCGATACTCATTATATGGACAGGGGATTATGTAGAGACCAGTCTGTTTCTTTAGGTACTTCTTTTTCAGGAGATCATAAATTAAAAGGCTCTAAAATGGCATAAAACATATTTTTAGTTAGGAAAAATATCTGCAAGCTACTTTCTTACCAGCATTAGTTTTTTCCTCTCAATATCATTTCTTTCTTATTAACAATAGCTTAAATTCCTATATCTGAGAAGCAAACAATCAGTATTTATAAAGAAAAGCTATACTTTCTACCTGGAAAATGGGCCTGGGAGGATCCCCAAAGGGAGCGATTCCTTTGTCTGTCAGAATATACAGTTTCATGTCTTTAATCAGTACTACATCTGTGTTTTCAACCAGTCCTCTTTCCACTCTTACAGCGTTGTGTTTACACTTTGATTTCACAATGTTCCAAACTGTTATGACTCCTGGACCCCTTGTATTTCGACAGACAGCATATCTTGGGAAAGAATGAAATTGATAGCCTTTTTAGTGATATTTGGCAACGGTTCTGTAGATGTTGCTACTTCTGGGCTGGTGGGAAGGAACGGTGGAGAGAGAAAAATCCCCACAAGCAGTTGGCCAATGAAAGGCACTGCAGACTACTTCAACCATAGAAGTCGGCCATAGCAGAGCACCTGATGAACCATCCCGGACATAGCATATTATTTCAGAACACAGAAATGCTGGAGCACTCTCACAACCACCATGTCAGGCTACACAGAGAAGCCATGGAAATAGCATAGGAAACATCATGGCAACAGAACAATTTAATAGGATCAGGATCAATTCAATTTAACATATAAAATATGAATAGTAATGTAATATAGGAATTAAAGTTAAATAATTAGTCAAGTCACAAAACAGGTCGTTTGTCATAGGAGTCGTCAGTCGAAACCACAGCAAAACATCCACGTCTTTAATTCCTTGTGGAATATGGTTAGGGAGGGTGTCAGCCTAATCTCCCTAGGGTGGGAGTTCCAGAGGCAGGGGGCCATCATTGAGAATGCCTTTTCCCTCGTCCCCACCAGCCGTGCCTGAGATGGGGGCGGGAGCGAGAGAAGAGCATCCCCGCTGACTTTTGCACTAGCTCTGGTTTCCGAACCATCTTCAAGGGCAGCCCTACGTAGAGTGCATTACAGTAGTCCAATCTTGAGGTAACTAAGGCATGGACCACCATGGTCAAGTCAGACTTCTCTACAGAGACACTCACTGGAACACCTCAGCAAGCGAGAGACCAAAAGTGGCAGGCTCAAACCCAGAACCTCAACCAATGGCTGATACCAAAAGAGAGACTCCCCCTTGGGCACACAGAAAACTGGGTGAAAGGCACTGAACAGACTGCACTCTGGCACCACGAGATGCAGAGCCAACCTTAAGACATGGGGATACAAAGTGGAATCCATGACATGCAAGTGTGGAGAAGAGCAAACTACAGACCACCTGCTGCAATGCAACCTGAGCACATGCACAATGGAGGACCTTCTTGCAGCAACACCAGCGGCACTCCAAGTGGCCAGCTACTGGTCAAAGGACATTTAATCAACTACCAAGCTTGCAAACTTTGTGGTTTGTTTGTTTGTTAAAAAATGCAATGCAACTGTTTGGTCTGCCCCTGACACGATAAATATGGTACTAATGTTGGAGAGTGATCCCTGATCAAAGTGGTCCCTGGGAACCACTGATCTAGAGGACTACAGGTTCAACATCTCTGCCATATGCTGTTTACCATCAACATGAAAGGATGACATCACTGTCCAGCTATAGATGGAACTCCCAGTTTTACTTTTCATTACATTCAGATGAGAAAGCACGAGGGTTAAATCAGTTACCGAATGTGCTAAAGTACTGCATCTTAAACATGTGGATCCTAAGCCAAATGCGTTCTCTTTAACTCGTTGGGGCCCTGAAAAACTTGGTAACAGCAAAAGTTTTCTGGACATTACCTAGTGGCTGTTTCAGACATTTACATTAATCTGTTGTGCAGTGTTTGCGATGGACCCTACAGAAGACGCTTTAGCTGTAACTTCATAAAAAATTTAATCATATATCATAATTCTAACTGCACAGAATGTTTATCATCCGCTTTGTAGAAGTATAAAAAAATAAAAACAATGATTAATAAAATTGTAAAGGCATTTTGCATGTTATTACCTGGGATAGCTCTCTGATGTCACAATATTCTGAATACCATTTGTTTGCTTTGCTTTGCTTGCAGTGACTGTCAAAGACTGGTCATTGATCTTGGAAGCCAAGTTCCAGGATCGAAGGTAGTTCTCTCCATCACAGAATGCTAAGCAGTATCGAAGATCAGTGCATACACCTATATTTATGATAATTCAAGTTATTTGTGAAAATAATATAAGCTGTTGTTCATCAAATCCCAAAATGATCATTTAACAAGATATCTCTATTAAGTTTTCTAGGAAGCCAGTTAAACTAGAGGCATTTTTATTGACTTGGCAGTGGCTAATTTCCAATGGAAAGTGCCAACCTTCCTGGAAATCTCTCTCTAAAATAGAATTCTTGCCTCTAACTATTGCTGGGACCTCTTCCATGCTAAGAGCTAAATCCAATTTTGAGATTTTTTTAAGAGGCCCCTTTCCAGTGTAGATGAGCCAAAAGTAACTCTTCTGATTACTTTAAATTCTGGGGATAAGCTTGAGAATAACTCTGTTTCTCAACCAACCAGAGAAAATCTATTGCATCTATCATTAAATTTGGGGAGAAGCCCTCAATTATGTTTCTTGTCCAGGGATCAGCTACAGGCCTGATTGTGACACTGCCTTATTTTGATATATTCTTCTTGTTTATGGTTGACTGGTCTTTCTTCTGGACCGCTACAATATTTTACCCCACTTACCATCAATTGGAACTGAAGAAAATTTAGCCAAGTGTTTGTGATCTTCAGACTCTAGATTCCATGACACTATCTCAGTGGAATTAGTGTTTGGTATGGGACTGAATGCCACCAGGTGAGACCCCAAATGGTTGACAGCAAAAGTATGAATATGATCATGGCAGCATCCTTTCAGACTGTGAGCATAGGAAAAGTTGTGGACATGGTAGAGTTCAATATGCACAATCTCACGTTGTCTAATGAAGGGACACCTAAAAGGGAAAAGGTAGTGTTGGTTGAATTGTGTCAACATATAGTAAACTGTATGTTCCTGAACTTGTTTCAAATGCTGTCTTTAATGAAAGAAAACACACACATCGGGGGGTGGGGTGGTAAAGAGAGAGATCTATTTAAAGTAAATCCTGTATTTGAAACAGAGAAGAATTATTGAAATAACTTCTAAAAGTTATTTTTAAAATTCCAACTCCTAGACAGACAACATGGCCCGTCTATATACTGGTTGGAAAATTTGGAAAACTGTAGTCCAAAAAGTAACTCTGTAAAGTTCTGTAAAGGAATTTCAAGTGAAAATTAGGGGTAGTGCTCACCTCCAGCTCAGGGGCTGGTGCTCATCTCCGTTTCTAAGCTGAAGAGCTGGCATTGTCCGTAGACGCCTCCAAGATCATGTGGCTGGCATGACTGCATGGAGCGCAGTTTACCTTCCCACTGAGGTGGTAACTATTGATCTACTCACATTTTTAAGAAACTTGGGATAACAGTGGGAGCTCACCCCAACCCATGGATTTGAATTGCCAAGCTTCTAGTCAGCAAGTTCAGCAGTTCAGCAGTTTAACCTATTGTACCACCACCACCACCACCACCAAACCCCCCCACCCCCGGCTCCCTTTAAAGCAGATCTCTGATTACCCGCTATCCAGTTACTGTTCATCTGCTGTCAACTTTTGCCAGTATGTCCAAAAGTCAGGAATGATGGGATTTAGGTGTCTATCAATTGCTAACAGATAAAAGTTTCCAATGTTTACCTTCCAACATGAGACGATAATACTGTACTCAACTGGCCTTACTTTTAAGGAGACATAAATGGGGATTGCATTGTAAATGGCTTTACACATTGACCAAATTACCATACACAATAAAGCCTGAAAATTCTTCATGTAAATCAGAATAACAAACAAAAGATAGTTAGAAAGGGGTTTAAAACCTTTTTTTGGGGGGGGGGGGGGGGGGGGAGAGAGCAGTATCTGAAGACCACTACCTGAAAATCACCAGAAAATATTCCTTGGTTACAGCCACATCCTCAGCAGCTGCAATTGGTTCTTGGCTTTTCAGTTTAGCAACTACTTTTCCGGCCTTACCACTAAAAACCATTGCTTCGCTTCCACTTCTAGAAAAGAGAGGAGAAAAAATATTGAAGGAGCCACAACATAACAAGATCAAAAGTACAGGAAAAAGTCTGGGGAGGCCCTGCTTTCAGCCCCACCTCCTTCGCAATCGTGACTGGTGGGTATGAGAGACAAGGCCTTCTCCGTGGTGGCCCCTCAGCTGTGGAACTCTCTCCCCAATGATATTAGATCTGCCCCCTCCCTTCTGACCTTTCGGAAAAAAACTCAAATCCTGGCTTTGGGACCAAGGTTTTGTGCAATAAATGGATCAACTGGGAATATAATGTTTTAGTGGACCTCAATGGACTGATTGGATTATGTTTTAACTGGTGAACTGTTTTTAATTGAATGCTTATAATTGTTTTAATTGTGTTTATTGTAACTGTGTGTTTTAATGTATTATTTTTTTGGCATCTAATGGCTGCCTGCTGTAAGCCGTCCTGAGTCCCTCTTCGAAGGTGAGAAGGATGGGATAGAAATGCCCGAAATAAATAAATAAATGGTCAGGTAAAGCTGCATCTTGTTTGTCAAGACTCACAGCTGACTTTCGAAAAAAGGTATGAATCTGAAAGTCCACAAGATTTCTTGTTCTTGGCTTTTGAAGTCAACAAGAAGAAAAAATACGGAGCAAAGCTAAAGTCTCTGAACTATGGAGCTTCATCCCTTACATCCTTTTCTCAAAGCATAACTCTTTTTAATCCACGGAGGCCCTTAAGCCAAGTTATGCACATTCTCCTAGGAAAGCTTTCTGTGTACAAAAAGCAACAAAATTTACCTTTAAAAATTCCAGGTTACAGAACATTGTGTACGGTTTCTGAGGATTAATGCTAATCTGTTTTTTTCTATGCTATAATCTATTATGTAACTTGGATTGAGGAATGAGACATGTGTACTGTATGTATCACACTATGTAACAAAATTTGAAAAAAAATCTGTTCCTGGTTTGAAAGTGTTATTCCTGTTTAATTGTACAATACTTACCTTATTTTATGTATTTTGAACATTTGTATCCCGTCCTATTTTTGACCTCCAAAGAGGGACTCAGGGTGGCTTCCAACAATATAAAAACACCAATAAAATACACAATTACATAAAATGATAATAAATATACATTTAAAAACAGTTTGCCAAGTTTAAAACGTGCTCCAAATCAGTCCAAAAAATGCGGTCCATACAATCTCATCTATGCCAATAAAAACTGTCTATTCTATGAACGCTTGCTCCCACAGCCAAGTCTTAAGTGTCTTGCGAAAAGTCATGAGGGAGGGGGCAGATCTAACCTCCTTAGGGAGGGAGTTCCACAGCCAAGGGGACACCACGGAGAAGGCCCTGTCTCTCATCCCCACCAACGCCACAGCGATGGTGGCGGGACCAAGAGCAGGGCCTCCCCAGATGATCTTAAAGTCCTTGATGGTTCATAAGGAGAGACATGTTTGGACAGGTAAAGTGGGCCAGAACCGTTTAGGGCTTTATAGGTCAAAACCAACACTTCGAATTGTGCTTGGAAGCTAATAGGCAGCCAGTGGAGCTGGTGTAACAAGGGCGTTGTGCGCTCCCTGTATCCCACTCCTGTAAGTAACCCTGGCTGCCAAGCATTGGACTAGTTGAAGCTTCCAAACAGTCTTCATGTCAGAGTAGAACCTGGGCAACTTCCAAGAGTGACTTGTCACTGCTACAGAGATTCTCTACTTGAAACCTATTACAAACTAAGGATGTTATCATACCATGTTGTTATAGTGCCACAGTGATGGATTGGTCCTGCTTTTGCCATTGCCTTATTGTATGACATCATTGCTCTCCAGATATTGTTACATTCCAGAACCATAAAAATATGTTTTCTCGCCTATGATATACCGTATATTCCGGCATATAAGGCGACTGGGAGTATAAGACGACCCCCAACTTTTCCAGTTAAAATATAGAGTTAAGACGGCTCCCATGCATAAGACTACACCCGTGTATAAGACGACCCCTGACTTTTGAGAAGATTTTCTTGGGTTAAAAAGTAGTCTTATACGCCAGAATATACTGTAATCAATTAATGATCACCCCTTTCCTTCAACAAAGTAGCCAGTTCAGGTGCAGATGTCTCATAGTGATTTCTTCCATAAATGATCCATCAGTGAGTACATTGTGGTCAAGTTATTCCCCCCCCTTGAGGATTTCCAAGGAAATCTCTCGTTGGGAAAGCAACAACAACAACAATTATTATTATTATTATTATTATTATTATTATTATTATTATTTGACGAGAAGCACCTGGAAAAGCTTACACAGTATGAGGATTTAAAAATTGAACTCAAAAGACTCTGTCACAAGCCAGTAAAGGTGGTCTCAGTGGTGATCGGCACACTGGGTGCAGTGCCTAAAGACCTTGGCCTACACTTAAACACAATGGGAGCTGACAAAATTACCATATGTCAGCTGCAAAAGGCCACCCTACTGGGATCTGCACGCATTATTCGCTGATACATCACACATTCCTAGACACTTGGGAAGTGTCCAACGTGTGATCCTATACAACAGCCAGCTTACTGATCTTGTTTGCTGTGTAATATGTCGTTGTGTTTCAAATAATAATAATAATAATAATAATAATAATAATAATAATAATACTTTATTTATAACCTGCCCAAGAGGAAATGACTTCTCTGGTATATTTAAACCTCTCTTAGCCCCCTTTTGCTTCTTTTATTATCATTCATATTGTCATAACTTTATAACACATCCTACTCTTGGCACTATGTGGCACTATGATGTGCCATCATAGTGCCACATTAAAATTAAAAAAAAATTAGATAAACCAATAATAATGTGAGGGGCAGAGTACAGGATAATAATCATCATCATCATCGTCATCATCATCATAGAATCATAGAATCAAAGAGTTGGAAGAGACCTCATGGGCCATCCAGTCCAACCCCCTGCCAAGAAGCAGGAATATTGCATTCAAATCACCCCTGACAGATGGCCATCCAGCCTCTGTTTAAAAGCTTCCAAAGAAGGAGCCTATAATAATAATAATAATAATGTGGGCACAAAAGTATAAATGTGGCACAGGTACATTAGAGTGTTCCAAAAATCAGTTATTTTCATGAGATTGGCTGGAGCAAATTTCAAATGCCATACTAACATGGCATAAAGCAGTAGTGTGATAAGGCCTAAAGGGTTCTTCTGTATGGAGATGCATTTTATGCTTTATTCCCACATTACAAATTAAGTTCAACTAACCTATAGACAAACAAAACATAATCTTTCACTGAATTCTTTGATACAAGTATAGATCGGTCCTTGTGGATGGGCACTTCTTCAGTAGAAAGGTAAGCTTCATGGAGCAATTGACATGAGCGAGCGAGATCAAAAACCTGAAACAACACATGAAAACAATGTTTGCTTGGCTGTGCACTACTTCATATCCATTTAAAGTAATGCTATATCCTTCCTCCTTACTATCTAAATCTAAACTGTGGAAAGAAAATATGTGGAATTACAAAGCCACACTGAATATAATTAATGAGTTGAAGTTAATCTCTATCACTCCTAGAAACACAAGCAGAAATACCTAAGCCTTAACCCAGAAAAAATACTAACACCCGAGTCCTATTGAAATTGGTTTTTTGTGTGTGTGTGTCAGGAGCAACTTGAGAAACTGCAAGTCGCTTCTGGTGTGAGGGAATTGGCCGTCTGCAAGGATGTTGCTCAGGGGATGCCTGGATGTTTTGATGTTTTACTATCCTTGTCGGAGGCTTCTCTCATGTCCCTACATGAGGAGCTGGCGCTGACATAGGGAGCTCATCCGCACTCTGCCCGGATTCGAACCTACGACTGTCAGTTTTCAGTCCTGCCAGCACAAGAGTTTAACCATTGCGCCACCGAGGGCTCCTAATGAAATTGTTGGACCATCTTATATTCCTCTTAGATATATACAAGTAAGTGTTGTAGCTATTTTCCATGCAGTTTCTTCTTAGTGTACCTGAGAAAATGATATAACACTCATATCCATGTGGTATATGTTCCTGAACTTCCCGTGGGTATGCAGAACCAAAGATAATAGCAAACCCTATTGAAATGAAGGACTTTTGGCTCAAAATACCATCAAGTCATGCTGGAGGAGGGGCCCCCAGTGGCGCAATGGGTCGGATGTTCGAATCCCAGGAGAACACAGATGAGCTCCCTCTGTCAGCTCCAGCTCCCCATCCGCGGACATGAGAGAAGCCTCCCACTAAGGTCTTGTAAAAGCCTTCCCTGGTCACCAGCGCACTTTCCGCCCTTCGAAGAAAGCAGCCCCAGAAGCTGGGAACAGTCCAAGCGGACTACCCTTCATTAATTTTGATGCATGTTGCGCAACCAGCATAGGGTTCGTAGGGTCCCAGCTATCACACTTTTGCCACATGTTAGAATGGATGACACAGAGACATGAAAGTGTTTACTACTAATGTTTTTTCAAACTTACCTGAACCATGTGGTTGCCATTAAAAAAAACCAGCAAGAGTTGTCCGTTCATTGCAGAAGTTAGTATAGGAGTATCCAAAAACCCTCCAGTGGCATATATCACTTTTTTCAAGGAAAGGTCCCAAATTTTGATGCTGGTCTTGTCAGACACAGCCACCAACCTGTTATCCAAACATATAGCAATAGCGCTGATATTCCTCCCAATTGCACGCAGAGTGAAGATGGCTTTACCAACTCTCAGGTCCCACAGTTTTAAAGTGCCATCATTGGAAACTGTTGCAACAATGTGTTCGTCTTGGGTTTGTCCGATGGCTGTAATTCTGTCCAAATGACCTACAGATTTAAAGCCACACAATTTCAAAATGTTCTCAGTGATAAAAGCAGAACTGTTGACTTTTCTCTAAGATTAGATAAGCGGCATCTCTTTCAGGTACATAAATGTTACCTCAAACACTGGGTTCTTGTAGGTTTTTCGGGCTGTATGGCCATGTTCTAGAAGCATTCTCTCCTGACGTTTCGCCTACATCTGTGGCAAGCATCCTCAGAGGTTGTGAGGTTACCTCAAACAAGCTGGACGGATTCTTTGAGATTTATGTGTGGTAGATCCTTGTACAATCATTTATCATTTGTTTTAATTTTGAACAATCATTTGATAAATTGCTAATACAATTTCATATAATATGACATTTTAAAGTAATGGATATCTTTTTCAATCTTAATGAGAGTGCCACTCAATGCATTGTTTCTCCATGTAAATCAGGTGTTGGCCTGATCAGATATAGATCTAGACTGGCTGCATGTGGTCTCTGGACTCATTGTTTTGTCTCTGCAGCCCACCAATTTTGCCATAGTGTTCAGACAAAAGTTTGTCTCCAGGTCACACATTTAGAAATACAGCCCTAAATTGAGGCAGTAAAAGCATCATCTTCAGATAGTGCTTCTGCCTCTTTTTTGCACTTCCTGAAGTTCCTTACTAGCCATCCAAAGCCCACCATCTCTCTATTTTTTTAAAAAAATCTGGGCTATTTTCAGGTAATTTTTGCATAGAAACACCACTGAAAGCTCCCTAAGTACATTTTAAAAAATTCAAAACTGTATCAAATTTAAGGGGACTCATAACATTGCTTTAAAAGGGTATATTATATCAAATTTTATTAGCAATTTTGCATTTGTTTGCTTTTTGGTAGTTGGAGACCCTTCATAAATCTATGGCCCTAAATCACGGGGAGGAATCATGAGGCCCTCAAGAGGCTGGACTACTCCTAGCAGCTCCAGTCAACAAAGGAATACTTTTAAGGCTTTCGTGGCAGGGATCACTGGGTTGTAGTAGGTTTTTCGGGCTGTATGGCCTTTTTCTAGAAGCATTATCTCCTGATGTTTCGCCTGCATCTATGGCAGACATCATCAGCGGTTGTGAGGCGAAACATCAGGAGGGAATGCTTCTAGAATATGACCATGCAGCCCGAAAACCCCACAAAAACCCATTTTAAGGATTGCTGGGAACTGTCTTTCAACAATATCTGAAATGCTACGTTGTTCTCACTTGTGAATACATCTGACACTAATAAATAGTCAAAGACTGGTTTAGGGGTGAAACAGAATGTTTCCAACCTAAACATAAAATGCCAATGTCCTTTCCTAACAGAGAAGAGAAGATGCTGAAAACAGTAGGTCCTCTTATTACATGAATGATCAGTTCTAGAGTACTTTGAAAATATGATTTTCACATAGAATCTCCAACCCTTTGTCTGGGGAGAGATTTTCCTGGTTGGGTATTTTCCCTGGCTAGCACGCCATTGAAAAGTCAAAACATTTCCCTGACCCCTGGCTCATCTGTTGCTCTGAAGAGAGATGACTAGCTGAGCAGACTGCCCGTGCTGAGCTCCTAATAGCAGCTTTTCCCCCTGACACTAAATCTGACAGGAAGCCTGGCTGTGCAGAGTCATATATCTCTATTTGTTAGAAAAGCTGATTAAGTAGTTCCCGAATAATTAATATTTTTCTCATTTACCTTTGAGAAAGTCACATGGTAGTCCACCAGGAGCTATAAGGCAGGTTGTTGAAGGAACAAGAACAGGAATGGAAGATTTCTCACACTGGGACAAAAGAGCTGGCAGATAGAGATATTTTTTGGGATCCCCTGTATCAATATGAGTAACACAAAGCAGTTATTTAGTGGGTTAGCCTTTAAAACCGTGTTACTTATTAAACGGTACACTTTACCATCTGATGCCCTCAATTCTGTATCATTTTACAATGTCTATGTTATTTCAGTTGCAGGATTTCTGGACACAAATAATATTTCCTCTTTGGCAAGAGTTGATACAGGTTGAGTATCCCTTCTGTGAAATGCTTAGGACAGAAAGTGTTTTGGATTTTGAGCTTTTCAAATACCTTAATTGGCATATATGTAAATAATGAGATATCTTGGAGATGGAATAGAAATCTAAACACAACATTCACTTTTGTTTTCATAGGGTAGTTTTATAGAATTGTTGAAAAAAGTGTTGTGTATGAAATTAAGTGTGTGTACATTGAACCATTAGAAAGTAAAGGTGTTACTTTCCCAGCTACCAATGTGGGACTGTTTTGAACTGTTTTGGAATTATGGACAAGGAATGCTCAGCCTACAATTTATTTGTTGTTCCAGGATATAATGATTTCCTTCTTAAAATGGCTTTAGGTTTTTTCCTAAAGGTCAGGAAGGGAGGGGGCCAATCTAATTTCACTTGGGAGGGATTTCAATAGATGAGGTGCCACCACTGAGAAGGCCCTGTTTCCCATCCCCACTAGTCGCACCCGCGAGGGGGGTGGGACTGAGAGCAGGGCCTCACCCAGCGAACTTATCTTCCGAGGTGGATAATATAGGGAGATACATTCAGACAGGTATACTGTGTTAGAAACGTTTAGGGCTGCAGCACACCCTTTCTATCTGGGTGTGACTTAGCACTTCCATGGAGGGTGCTATTGTGATGGCACGCTCGAGCCTTTGGGAAAACTATAGTGTCTGGCTTTACTTGGGGACTATCTGTACACTTTCTGTTATGATTAAGACCCTTAGTGGACAAAGTCACTTTAGGAAAGAGAAAAGATAACCAAAATGACATTACTGCAAACAAGATGAATAAAGGTTAACTCCACCTGGGACTATAATAAAGTAACTTAAAACAATACATTACAAAAGGAGATTTTCTGGTTGTAGTCATCTCTCTGGAGTCTTTAAAAGTCTCTTGCCTCTGGTGCAAAGCAATGGTTATAAACTGTCTTAATCTTCTTTCTTGTGAAGCTTAAGCTGACCAAAAGCTTCTGTTGTCATTTGGACTGATGGTATAAAAATACTGTTGATTGCAGGTGCTAAGGATGCCTGTTTTTTGGATTGCTTCGGCCCAGGATTACCAGACAATTCCTAAGCCTCTATTCTCCGTTGCTCTGTTGCAAAAAAGGGAGGAGCTCTATACAGGCAAATGAAATAGACCAACTGATGCAGGCCTCTAGAGGTTTCTATGCTCCACCCAAACTAATACAAAGGAAGGTATCCACACTATTGGGAAAATCTATAAACGGGGAAACAGAAGCAGAGGAGAGGAAAAGGCAGGGCTAAGACTTCACAGTTATCCTCCTGGATTGCTGCACAGGGATTTGTTTTCCTGCCTGCATTTAGTTTCTGGAAGTAATCTTTCAGGCATTATGGGATGACTTGGTTCCATACTATGGCTGTTTATGTCTTAGCATGACAAATAGAGTTCAAAGCAAAATACAGATGGCCCTCTACATTTGCAAGTTTAATTTTTCTGGCAGTTTACCACACAGTCCCACTGGAGAACCCAGAGATTTCCAGGAAGGTGTTTTCTCAGTTACAAAAATATTCAATTTCTCCAATTTTGTGGGGTCTTATGCCCCTAATCCCTGAGAAAATGGAAGACTTACAATATAAAAAATAGGAAGTCGGAAGAATTATTTGAAAAATCCATGCCTTTTCCTTTACAATACCTGGAGCCACTGGCTTATCCGCTGCTGCAATTTGATGAAGACGACCTATAAACTGAGAAGCCATCTGACATGGGTCTTGCAGCAGAACATTCTTGGATAACCTGAGAACTTCACTTAACAAAGTTAAGTCAGGTATAGTCCTATTGGATGGGAGGGGAAATGACCAGCATGTTAGTTTTGCTTTCTTCCCTTCTCCTAATCATTACAATATTTGATGTATCTCAGTGAGTAGCTGAAAAATGTCACTTATGTAGAATACAGCTTCCAGAATCCCACTGAAAAAAATGCAACTTTTAATGCTCTGGTCTCAAGAAATTTCAAAACAGGGTAGGACAACAACTAATTATTTGAAAGACATGGTAAGATGGTGAGCAGAATGGACACAAATTCACAGGAATGTGAATGTCATACATGTTAAGTTGAGTTTTGGAAGTCAAAGGTGAGCAATCTATTGCCATCCAGAGAATATTAGACTACATAACTATCATACTACCTGGTGCAGATTGGGTTTGGAGGTCCAGAGGTTTTCCATTGGTATATTATCTAACTATAACATTGTTTTGTGGTGAATTCTTAAAAGCATTACAAACTATTATCTCATAAAATGAATGATAAAAAGGAAAAGGTAAAGGTTTCCCCTTGACATTAAGCCTAGTTGTGTCCGACTTTGCGGGGTAGTGCTCATCTCCATTGCTAGCCCAAAGAGCCAGAGTTGTCCGTAGACACCTCCTAGGTCATGTGGCTCACATGACTGCATGGAGTGCTGTTACCTTCCCACCAAGGCGGTACCTATTGTTCCACTCACATTTGCATGTTTTCGAACTGCTAGGTTGGCAGAAGCTGGGGCTAACACTGGGAGCTCACCCCGCTCCCGGATTTGAACCGCCAGACTTTCAGTAAGCAAGTTCAGCAGCTCAGCAGTTTAACCTGCTGCGCTACCAGGGGGCTCTAAAATGAATGATAGGACTGTGAAATTAGCAGACTGTTTGCATGTTTGTGATAGTTTAGACTTTTCCAGTTCAATAGTTGTTGTTGTTATATTTCTTTACCATCTTTCCTCATGATACATGATTAAAAACACATCATCATCAAATATTATGTAAAATACATATATAAACAACAATAATTTTATTTCTTATTCTTCTACCACTATAAACTCACCTGTCTGCACTGATAGCTGCTCTGAGATCCTCTTCAATGCTAACTACAGATGATGCCCAGGATTTGTGCAAGAGGAACTCATAATTAAATAGACACTCTCTGATTAGAACAATAATATTCTTTGATTTGATGAGGTGATATGGAGTTCCAAAGAGCTTACGAATATTAAAGAAGTAGTTGATCTTGGCTTCTTTTTCCAAGACCCAGGCCAGAGGCTGAGATGTACACAGTTTGCTGCCTTCATGTGAAGTTCTACCCAAATAGTAGTTTGCAAAGGTATCATGAACCGATATTTGGGACTCCTGTGCTTTAAGATACCTCTCTATGCACACATGTTTCAGAGATGTATGAGCCCAAGTAAAAACATAAGTGTTGTCTGTTCTTTGTTCTCTTAGGTGATCTCCAAGATCATCCAAAAGCTTCAACCATAATACAAGAGGGAAAGCTGGAATGGAAACTTTCTGGAATTTAGTTACTTCTTGCATTACTGCATCATCTTTGGACATCAGGTCAAGTAGCTCTTCCTGAGTTATGCCATTTCTTGAAAGTGTCACATAAGCTCCCATCCTTTTCACAACCTGTTCTCCATGGTATTTTTCCATTCTGCCGAGGATCCGAGAATACATCTCAGGTATGTTTTGAGGAAGATACACATCTGTCTCTGGGCTGAAAGATGTCCATAAACAAGATTCCTTATATGCACAATGTGTGTAAAGTGGTAGTGGGCAGGCTGTACATGACTCCATTAAGAGATCATACTGATCTTTGGCGAGTCTTCGTTGATCCCTTTCTAACCAAGAATTGATAATCTCATTGATTTCTTGAGATGTTAAAGGTGGTATTTGTAGAATATTCTCCATCACAGTTATTTTCTGGAAAAAAAATCCTGTTTATCAGATTGTTTCCAAGTCTAATCATTAAAAAATTAGTTGGCATCACTTTTGCTAAACAAATACAAGACAAACCAGCCCTATATACTCATTTATACATTTACAAATTTTAGTCAACCTTAACTCTTATCAGAAAAGGAACCGTTCTCTTCTATACGATTAGTGGCAAAAGATGATAGCTTAGTATGTCCTGGGGAACCTAAAAGAAACAACATCTTTGCTGTGGTGCCACTTCTGACCTTTTGAATGCCTGCATGGGAAAATGGTGGTGGTGGTCAGAATTGAGTCAGCATTGCTGCTTTCTCCTCTCTGCAGAATGACCCTCAACGTATCCACAGATTATATAAAAAATCCAAAACCTACTCTCAATGTATACATGAGGTCAACCTATAGGTAAAGGTAGTCCCCTGACATTAAGTCCAGTCATGTCTGACTCTGGGGTGTGGTGCTCATCTCCATTTCTAAGCCGAAGAGCCAGCGTTGTCCGTAGACACCTCCAAGGTCATGTGGCCGGCATGACTGCATGGAGCGCCGTTACCTCCCCGCCGGAGCGGTACCTATTGATCTACTCACATTTGCATGTTTTCGAACTGCTAGGTTGGCAGAAGCTAGGGCTGACAGCGGAAGCTCATGCCGCTCCCCGGAATCGAACCTGCAACCTTTCGATCAACAAGCTCAGCAGCTCAGTGCTTTAACCCACTGCGCCACCGGGGGCTCCCGGTCAACCTATACACAAGTACATACAATAGTTAAATTGCTCAGTATTTGGAATATATTCTACTATCGTGTTATTTTGTAAAAGGAACGCTATTATGTCCATTATTCAGAAAACAATTGTCTTAAAATAACATAATTGCATGTAAAATATAACATCCAACCACTGCTCTAGGTAGCTTGATCTGCCCCTCATTGATATGAACTGGGCATTCCTTTAGATGCCAGGATGCAGAATTCTGCTACTATGATCTACTTCACACATATGCTAATATGTGCATTATTAGTCTAGATAGCTTAATGTTTTCATTTCAGCTCACCAAAACAAGTAGGGTTTTTTCCTGTATCATTTTAAGGGAGAAAATTTTGAAAATGTCCAACTGCGAGGATATTTTTGTGCTAAGACACTAAACAAAGCCAGATATATTTAGACCTGTGTTTCTCAACCTGTGGGTCCCCGGGTGTTTTGGCCTACACCTCTCAGAAATCCCAGCCAGTTTTCTAGCTGTTAGAATTTCTGGGAGTTGAAGACCAAAACATCTGGGGACCCACAGGTTGAGAACCACTGATTTAGACAAAGGAGGAAAACTTTGGATGAGCCTTGGATAGTTAACGAAAAACAAAACTCTATAAGACTATCATAGAACCTCACACTGAGAAAGTGTCAACTGGTTGAGGTACTCTTACCTCCAGCTTTTTTAAGCATAAAGAAGCTGATCCAGTTGTACAGGTGGAAGCAATAAAATACACATTCTCTGGTAATTCTGCGGGTATCCAAGAAAGATCTGAATCATATTCCTCTGTTAATTCATCCAAACCGTCCAGGCATATTAAAAGTGGCTTATCTTGTGTAGCAAATTCCAACAAGGATGCAAACTCTTCCACCAAGCCTTTAAAATCCTTTTTAAAAAAACAAAACAGAAAACATTTTAGCAAATCCTAGGTACCTTATAATTAGACTATTATTAATGTTGTAGTCTTCCATCATAACTGTATGGGATTTAATAAGATTCAGTATTATGCAGGATTTGACATATCCATACAACATTCAGGAACATAGTATTTATGGATACAGATGCCAAAATATATTCTTCATACACAGCCTTTAAGGGTTTTTCCATCTGTAAATATTCCATTCATTCAGTTATCCTTGTATTGTTCTATTGCTTTCTTTGGGGGGGGGGGGTGGTTGGAAAAATAATGCCATAACCTTTTGGGAAATGGAAATCTTCATAACCTTTTGGAAAATGGCATTCACTCCCATTCTGGGAAAATCAGGAATCTCCCTGATAAGAGTTAAAAACTCGCTTGAGTCAACCTTCTCCTTAGTGGTATATATCCACAAGTATTCGTGCAAGGTAATTAGGTTTCTCAGCTGTTAAACTGATATACCTAGAAATCTCTTTGAACTGTTAGGGACAAAGATATGCCAATACACAAAAACATATATATAGCAGAGTTTCAGAAGTGTTCTTTCAATTGCCCAAAAACATCTATTTTCCCTTAAAACATCTTGGTTTAAATCATACTTTCAAGAGAGAAAAAATAAGCAGACTTCTTTAAAAGCAATATAGTTGGTTTACTCACAAACTTCATGCATGCAGCATACAGGTACATTGCTTATTGCTCCAGTTATAGATAGAATTTGAAGTTGTTTCTCTGTGCAAATAACACAGGGCATCTTTCTTACGATCAACAGCCCAAAGTCCAAAGCATCTCTCTGGTCTGAGAGTCTAATAGAGTCTCCGTTCTCTAAAGCATTCAGTTTCTACTGACCTCTAAAAGCATACTGTTTCTACTGGCATCTGAAAGAATCCTGTTTCTAAAGTAAAGTCTGAGTCCTGAACAATCCCAGATCTGATCACATGGTCTGCAGCCCCTCCCACAACATAGAGTTAAGGAAAACTGTGTACCAATACACACATATACAATACAGTAACCAGTCTGAATGATATACATAACAAATATCTAGTGGAGACTTGAAGAAGTTTGCTATTTCCAACAATTTAATATGTATTTTATGGAAAGAGGTTTTAATATGTAATTTTATAGAAATACATTTTAATATATGTATTTATAGAATTTTTACAATGTTTATGTGTTTTTATTATGTTGTAACCCACTCAGAGCCTCTAGGAGAGGTGGGTAAGATATTATTATTATTATTATTATTATTATTATTATTATTATTATTAATAACACAACAAAATGAGTCCACAGCAGACAAGATCACTCTGCTGGCTGTTGTATTGGATCACAAGTCGGACACTTCCCAAGTGTTTAGGACTGTGTGATGTATCAGTGAATAATGCGTGCAGATCCCAGTAAGGTGGCCCTTTGCAGCTGGTAATTTTGTCAGTGTTGATTGTGTTTAAGTGCAAGCCAAGGTCTTTAGGCACTGCACCCAGTGTGCCGATCACCACTGGGACCACCTTTACTGGCTTGTGCCAGAGATGATGATTATTATGATTATGATTAAAATAGTAGAACACTGAGCCAAAAAAAAAAAAAAAAAAACACCTCCTACCCATTCTTCCTCAATAATTAGGCAATAATTTAGGCTTGCTCTGTATGTCCAATTTGAGGTTTGTTTGAAAATGACACCAGGGTGGGAGTATCCTAGCTTCTATTAAAAGGGCATTTGAAGTATGGAAGCAGACAACCTTCTTAAGATTTTTCCTGCACCTGTAAGTTTTGGGTTTATTCCAAGTTTGTTTGTGCATTACAATTTTGAAATAATCACAGTAAAATTCCAGTGTTGGAATTAATTATCACAATTAAGAAGCAAGATACGGAAACAAAATGTCAGCTGAGTAAAAAAAATGCAGCAGAGGTGAAGAAATAATTTGAAGAATATTAGCAAGGTATTATTCGGGGGGGATAGTATTTTTAAAGGCACGTATGACAACCTCAAATATTATCAGACAGGAATTGACAACTCCCAAAATCTCCAAGCTGCATAACCATGCTGGCTGGGGAATTGTTAAATTTGTTGTATAAACAAGTAACTTTTACACAGTGGCTGCTTTGATGACGATGCATGAGTATTTCCTTTATTTGTCTATGCTGAATGATGGTGAACACTGTTGCTTCTAACAACATGGGTCTACCACTGAAAAAGAGAATGTTTTGATTACTTTTCTTCATTATCTGATTAGTGGGTTGTTGTAGGTATTATGGGCAGTGTGGCCATGTTCTAGAAGCATTCTCTCCTGATGTTTCGCCTGCATCTGTGGCAAGCATCCTCAGAGGTTGTGAGGATGCTTGCCACAGATGCAAGTGAAACGTCAGGAGAGAATGCTTCTAGAACATGACCATACAGCCTGAAAAAACTACAACAACCCAGTGATTGTGGCCATGAAAACCTTCGACAATATATTTGATTAGTATTACCATCATAATGGTTGTCCTGTTTTGTCTGTATTCAGTGTTATGCAAAAAATTGTATGTGGACCCATGAAGATTAATCAGTTATTATTATTGAGCTAAAAAAAACAAACAAATTCTTAACTGTTACCTGGGATAAATTAATGGAGATTTTGTAAATATCAGCTATCTGGCAGCAAAGACCCAAGAGCAGCAGTCGGATATTTCTGCTTTCACCCGTGGCACCAATAAATCGAATTATAACTCTGAGATCACTGTATTGAAATAAAAAAGATAGTTTCCTTTTTTTCAGGCTACACAAAAAATAGTTATTTTTTTTAAATTGTGGCATGTAATTCATCATCTAGGTGAAGGTATATTTACTTAAAGATCTGGTGTGGTTTAGTGGTCCGAAAGTTGGGCCATGACTCTGGGGACCAGGATTCAAATCCCCATTTGACCAAGTAAACCCACTGAGTGCCCTTTGTTACACTCATCTGCACTGCCATATAATGCCGTTTCAGAATGCAGATTAATTACATTGAATTTACATTGGATTATATGGCAGTGGAGACTGAGGACATCCAGTTCAATCTGCATTATATGGCATTCTTAGAGGAAAACAAGAGCAATCCTACTCTAAACACCTCTTGCCAAGAAAACCTAGGCTCATTGTACAATGGAAATAAGTTGAAGGCACTCAACAATATTTAAATTCCATTTTCTGACCATTTTTAAAGGAGGAAGGCATAATGGTTGGGATCAAGTTATTTATTTATTTATTTATTTATGTCACTTTATTCCGCCCATTTAAGCCCGAAGGTGACTCAGAGCGGCATACAAATCGGCACCAAATTAGATGTCATATATAAATACATACATCGGTTAAAAGCAAATAAATCACATCATAATACATGAAAAAACCATAAAAGCAATAAAAAATTATAAAACTATGTTCAGTTCGTCATCTGTTTACATCATCTTAACCGTTCCTTGCTCATATTCCAACTTGAATTTATCTGGTCATGCTGAAGTTCCAAACGCTTGCTCAAAGAGCCAGGTTTTCACTCTTTTCTGAAAGGTTAGGAGGGAGGTGGCCGATCTAATATCTCTAGGCAGGGAGTTCCACAGCCGAGGGGCCACCACAGAGAAGGCCCTGTCTCTTGTCCCTGCCAGACGCGCCTGTGAGGCAGGCGGGATAGAGAGCAGGGCCTCCTCAGACGATCTCAACTTCCTAGAAGGTTCATAGCGAGAGATGCGTTTGGATAGATAAGCTGAGCCAGAACCATTTAGGGCTTTATAGGCGAAAGCTAGCACTTTATAGGCGAAAGCCAGCACAGTTACATTAACAATCAGCTTCTCGGTTCTTCCAGATATTCCTGCCCAAATGTTAAGATCCTTTTCAGAAGCTATGTTCTCTCATAAGGTACAACTACAAGGATTCAAGCATTTGCTCCATAAATTCCCTCTCAACAACAAGCGTAAGAGGCCCTTACCCAGAGATCCAGTGAGAAGCCAACGAAGCCGCCTTTGCTGTGATGGCACTTTTCCCACATCCAGCCTCTCCACAAAGGACAATTAACCTTCTGTTTAAAGGTGTAAGTTGATTCCTCAGCTCTTTCAAAACCATTTCTCTTCCTATGAGACATTTAACCCTGTTGGAGTCAGAAGAGCAAAACAGTCATGGAGGCAGTCAGCCCTCCACATTTGCAGGTTTGACTTTTAAAGATTTGATTGTTTATAGATTTATTAAAATCTTTTCTCTGGGAATCTCTAGCTCCTGTATAGTCAACTTTTCCTGTTGTTTTTTTTTTTAGGAGTGACTTGGGAAACTGCAAGAGCATTGCCCAGAGGACTCCCGTATGTTTTGATGTTTTACACCATCCTTGTGGGAGGCTTCTCTCATGTCCCCACATGGGGAGCTGGAGCTAACATAGGGAGCTCATCTGTGCTCTTTCCGGATTCAAACCCCCAACCTGTTGGTCTTCAGTCCTGCTGGCACAAAGGTTTAACCCATTGCACCACCGAGGGCTCCTAACTTCTCCTGGTTAGGCTGGAGGAGACAAAAGTTCTTAGGACCTTATCACATGCGCTTTGGGCTTTGTTGCCATGAGCTTTGGGAACTGAATCCCATGGAGGTCATCACATTTATTTATTTATTTATCTATCTATCCTATTTATACTCCGCCTTTCTCTACCGCGAAGGGGACTCAAGGTGGTTTACATATAGGCAATTATTCCATGCCTTAGAATAATAATAATAATAATAATAATAATAATAATAATAATAATAATAATAATAATAATAAAAATAATTTTAAAATATACTCTGCCACCATCTCCCCAAAGGCAGCTAATAGGAGGCCAAGCCCAAAAATTACATTACAGCAAAGTAAAATACAACAAACAAATAATAACATCAAAATAAAATGCAAATAATAACAAGTAGACAATAAGCCAATGCAACATAAAATGGTAGCAGAATAAAAACATACATTTCCAATAACATTAAAATTAAAATTAAAAATGTAATTTAAATTAATACATATTAAACATTTTAAAACATTACATTCAATATTAAAACCACGGCATCTGTAATCATAATCCAAAGTCGTTTCATGGTCAATTGCATATATTCCATATCTGTTATTGTATTGCACTATTTTCCGAAAGCTTGATTCCAAAGCCAAGTTTTCACTTTCCTTTTGAAGGCCAGGAGGGAGGGGTCTGATATAATGTCACTGTGGAGGGAATTCCACAGATGAGGGGCCACCACTGAGAAGGCCCCGTCTCTCGTCCTGACCAAGTTGCGCCTGTGAAGAAGGCAGGACTGAAAAGCAGGACGTACACAGACAATCTTAATCTCCGAAGTGGTTTATAGGGGGAGATAAGTTTGGACAGATGAGGTGGGCCGGAAGCATTTAGGGCTTGATAGGCTAAAGCCAGCACTTTGAATTGTGCTCAGTAGTAAACTGGGAGCCAGTAGAGCTGGCGCAACAGGAGGGATGTCCTCTTTCTGTACACCCCCAACAGATATCCATCCAGCCCAACAGATGGCCATATATTACATACCACCTACTGATAAGTCTCCATCTGTAACAGTGATAAGGAAACTTGGCTTTCCAGGTTTTTTGGACTACAGATCTTACAATACTTTTCCAATAACTATGTGGGTTATGGCAGGCTAAATATCTGAGAAGCCAAAATGGACCTATTCCTAACATACAGTATATTCTCTGTGATGAAGCATGACTAATGCAAATGAAGTGAAAGAACATCATCAAACTTACAAGGCCTGTCCATGTTGCACATGCTCCAGAATCTCTTCATCATTATGTTTTTTAAATGCTTGTTTTCTTCTTCGATGTAGTCTGTCTGGAACATCTTTTGAACTTATCATTCTGGTCAAATAAGAATGAAGAAATCATTCTTATTTCAGTATCACATACACTCAGAGTTGGAAATCTTACTTTTAAAAAATTATAATTATAGTTCCAAGATAAACACATAATTTGTTAAAAGAAGCAAAACAAAGCAATCTATTTCAGGTCTACTCCCTTAGCCAATAATTTACAATATGGTGCCTTCCAAATGCACTGGGCCTCATCACCCTGATGTACTCATGGTTGTCTGTGTTTTGTAGAGATGATGGGAGTCACAATTTCAAAGTCTTTCGAGGCATTAGGTTAAGAAAGGATGTCCTTATTTTTCCTATTCCCTATTGTGTCCTGAGTAAACCATTAAGCATGCAAGTCTAATGGAACTTATTCCGTTATCATAGTATATGTTCCTTCTTTACTGTTCCTGTAACAATAAATTACACTATGTAGCAACATTTGAAAAAAAATTCTGTTCCTGGTTTGAAAGTGTTCTTTCCTGTTTAATTGCACAGTAAAGGTAAAGGTTTCCCATTGAGATTAAGTCTAGTCGAATCTGACTCTGAGGGTTGGTGCTCATCTCCATTTCTAAGCCGAAGAGCCCCCGTTGTCCATACACACCTCCAAGGACATGTGGCTGGCATGACTGCATGGAGCGCCGTTACCTTCCCACTGAAGCGGTGCCTATTGATCTACTCACATTTGCATGTTTTTGAACTGCTAGGTTGGCAGAAGCTGGGGCTAACAGCAGGAGCACACCCTGCTTCCAGAATCAAACCATCAATCTTTTGGTCAGCAAGTTCAGCAGCTCAGAGGTTTAACCCGCTGTGCCACCATAGCCCCTTGTGATTGTGCAGTACTTCCTTTGAAAGTAGTTTTTATACTCCTGAAACTTTGTTTTTGTGGCTGACACAAAACATATTGAATTGGTTGAGACCCGATGAGATAGTCATTTAAAAAATCTACAGTGTTCCCTCACTTATGGCTGGGGTTAGGTTCCAGTACCTCCCGCAGTAAGTGAAAAACCGTGATGTAGGGATGCTCTATTTATTTTAATATTTATACATTATTTTAGTAGTTATACACTATTTTAAGTCTTTATAAACTTAAAATAAAGTGAAGGAAAGGCCCTTCAAGGATGGAGGGAAGACTGAGGAGGGAAAGTACCATGGAGAGCGGCGGCAGCAAAACCCCACAAAACAGCAAAATTACCATGATATATATTTTAAATTAATATTTTTTGAAATTTGCGAAACAGCAAGTCTGCAATAAGTGAACCGCGAAGTAGTGAAGGAACACTGTATAGAAAAATGTGCTGCAGGATGTCCTTCCCACAAAGACAAAGTTTTGGCAGTTAAATAAACTTTTTCCATATTTTAAAGATAGAGCCAATTAGGAAATGACATTTATAAACCAAGAACAAAAATTGCGGTACGTAGTGTTATGTGACTGACCTATTGAAGTGGTTGACAACAATTTTTTGAAAGTCACTGCAAAGAGAGTCCACGTAATAGGCATGAGATCTGTTGTGGGTGGTGCTGATTCCATCTCTTCCCCAGTTAATATTCTTGTTGTAGATATTTGTGTGACGCAGCTATAAAGATAAACATATAACATATGTACCAGCAAAGCAAGAAGCAGTCAGCAATTACTACGACAGGGGATGTTAAATTTCACCTCTCCTGATATTAAATTTCTAGTATCCCTCTTTGTCTTTGCTGGCTAGAAGTGATGAGGACTGCAGTCTAATCACAACTGGAGAGCCACATTTTGCCCAGTCCTGTAACACAGCAATTTCGGTTTCTGAATCTAGAGGAACAGAAAATCCAAGAGATGCCAAGAGAGTGTCCAATGGCATAGTGTTGCAGATACAGCAGAAAAGGATAGCTGCTAGCATGAAAGATGTCTTAAGTGCTAAATTCTGACATTCTGAGAAAGGATAAAGCAGATGGGCTGGCAGAAAACTGGCATCTCGGGGGGTGGAGAAAGAATTGAAACTTGGAAAAGGCTTCATTTACCTATCCTGTCAAGAGCCAGTGTGCTGTAGGAGTTTATGGTTTGACGTAGCTCTGAAAAAAAATGTTCAAATAGCTGGCCAGCCATGGAAAGACCCTAGGTCAGGGGTCCTCAAATAAGGCCCGGGGGCTGGATACGGCCCTCCAAGGTCATTTACCTGGCCCTCGCTCAGGGTCAACCTAAGTCTGAAATGACTTGAAAGTACACAACAACAACAACAATCCTATCTCATCAGCCAAAAGCAAGTCCACGCTTCCCTTTTAAATAATAATAAGTTTATATTTGTTAAAATTGTTCTTGATTTTAATTATAGTATAGTTTTTAAGTGTGTGTGGGTTTTTTTTTGCACTACAAATAAGATATGTGCAGTGTGCATACGAATTCATTCATTATAATTTTTTCAAATTATAATCCGGCCCTCCAACAGTTTGAGGGACTGTGACCTAGCCCTCTGTTTAAAAAGTTTGAGGACCTTTGCCCTAGGTCAATGTTTCCCTGGGGGGGAGGGTTCAAAAGGAGGTGTCAGAGGGGTTGCCAAAGACCACCAGTATTTTCTGTTGGTCATGGAAGTTTCTGTGTGCCAAGTTTGGTTCAATTCCATCATTGGTGGAGTTCAGAATGCTCTTTGAATGTAAGTGAACTATAACTCCCAGGAACTAAAACTCCCAAATGACAAAATCAATTCCCCCAACCCCACCAGTATTCAAATTTGGATGTATCGGGTATTCGTGCCAAATTTGGTTCAGTGAATGAAAATACATCCTGCATATCAGATATTTGCATAACGATATTTACATAAGAGTTGTACTGCTTAGCCCATTAAATGTAGTGCTTAAGCCCCAGATCTTTGATACACAATGGATGACTCTTGTAAATTATTCTAAATCACAACACACTAAGAACATACTGATTCACCTACCCTGGAGTGAATGCTTTTCACAAATTCCTGATGGGCTTCAAGCATTGCTTTGTTGATTTCTGGTCGCAAGGGATGGATGTCAATATATTTGAATGCTTGAGGGTTTGATAGATTGCTCTGCAGCTCACTTATGTTTCTTTTGAAGCAGTGACAGTGATCCTCACGAGGTCCATGGACTTGGAATCCTTGATCCACTTCTTGGTGTAAAACTTGCAAAACAGAAGTAATTCTGCTTAAGACTACTAGAAGAGAATAACACTTAACCGCAATGTAATAAGTCAACATAGTTGGTTGTCTTTTGAATATCCTCCTCACCTGGTTTGAGCAAGCTAGAGGCAGTTTCTTGGCCAAGAGCAACTGAAGCATATTCTTGAAAGATCTTATTCAGTTTTTGAAATGACACCCGCCATTTGTTCTTAACTTGCTGCCTGCGAGTGGGATCTTTGCTAAAGATATCTCTGTACACAGTGCTGGGGAGACAACATGAAACACACATACCATGAGGAATGGCTTACAAACTAAGAAGATACTCAAAATCTAAAAATCATCGCTCCATATGCTGAAATATTTTATCATGTCAGAAGTGACTTGAGATAACTGCAAGTCGCTTCTGGTTTGAGAGAATTGCCCGTCTACAAAGATGTCGCCCAGGGGACACCCGGATGTGTTACCATCCTGTGACAGGGTTCTCTTATGTCTCCGCATGGGAAGCTGGGGCTGACAGATGGGAGCTCACCCCGTCTCATGAATTCGAACTGCCAACATTCAGGTCTTCAGGTCAGCAGTTTGCCAGCACAAGGGTTTGACCCATTGTACCACTGTGGCTCCCCAATAGTCTGGAATGCAGTGGTTCTTGCACTGCAGATACAGTGCAGCCTTATATCTCCCCATCAAATTAATTGGGGCTGCTTGAAACATAGATGGCTATTACAGAAGTGCAGTTGTGTGTGTGTGCGTGTGTGTATGGGGAGGGAGGGGATAGGCATGTGCAAACTAAATCAGAGCAGTATCCTCACATAAGAATTCTCTCCTCAGGAACTCTTCCTTCGCCTTGCAAATTTCTAGCACTGAAGAGAGTGAGATAATGACATTTACTACTCTTGCATTCCCTTGTAATTTTGCCTCCCTGTGCCTAACCTATATTTGTAAAGGCTCAAGTGAAATTAAAAGGTATTGCTACAAATGTTCCAATTAATTAAACTGAGATCAAGAATTTTCCAGAATTTTTCTTTTACTTGTAGGAGGCAGATAAAAACATATGCTTTTTTTAAAAAATGAGAAACTTCTTAAAATGTTTTCTGGCCGATAACATTTAAAAACTATTTTTATGATTTATTTTAATAATTTCTGGACATTTTTATATAAACCTTCCTCTATTTTCTAAAAAGAATATATCTAAATGTCATAATATTTTTAAATGTAGTAAGACTATATGCAGTAACTGAAAAATCAAAAGGCCACCAACCAAATCGGCTGAAGTTTGTAAACTGGTGGGATGCAGTTTTCATCCATCCTGTACCATTTATTCAGAAGCTGAAGCTCTCGGTCATATTCAACAACTGTCTTTTGGGTGAGAGGAGCATTAGGAAATCTCTGCCCTTTGGAATCAGCCAGCTCGTATTCTTCCTTACTATTTGTTTCAGCTTCAGATTCTTCTGTTGATACATCAGAGCCCAAGACATCTTGACTCGTATCATCTTGGCTTTCATTTTGTTTGGCTCCCCCAGTCTCTTCCTTTAAACCACTGGACAAATTGTGCTTTGCCTTTTTGGTGCTTCGCTTCGCCTGCTCAACTGCAGCTCTAATTGCCTCAAAGTTTTCCTTAGTTATTATATCTGGCAGGGAAGGCTCACTATGCTTTTGCCCAATAAATATCTGAAACTCAAAACAAGAAAAAAAAAAGAAAGAAAAGAAGCTTTCAATGAAGTTCAAGCTTGATATTTGCATTGTTCTGTGATGTTAATGAGTTTTCATAACAGACCTTCCATCCAATGAGCTTGGGTTAATACAGCAGAACAAGTATTAAAGCATTAATCCTATACACATATGTCTGGGATTGCACTGTAAAAAGCAATGGGCTAAATCTAGAATTAATCTTATCTGTATAAGTAAAGGTAAAGGTTTCCTCATGACATTTTTGTGTGTGTCAGGAGCAACTTGAGAAACTGCAAGTCGCTTTTGGTGTGAGAGAATTGGCCATCTGCAATACCGCTGCCCAGGGAACGCCTGAATGTTTTGATGTTTTACCATCCTTATGGGAGGCTTCTCTCATGTCCCCACTTGGGAGCTGGAGCTGACATAGGGAGCTCACCTACACTCTCCCCGGATTCAAACCTGCGACCTATCAGTCTTCAGTCCTGTGGCACAAGGGTTTAACCCATTGCGCCACCGGAGGCTCCTATGACATTAATGTCTCATGACATTAATGGCTGGGATTTAGCACAGTGGTTTAAACTGCCAGCTGCAGAAAATCTTGCCGATCAAAGGCCCGGGTTGGGATAAACTCCCAACCATCAGCCCAGCTTCTTCTCACCTAGCAGTTCGAAAACCGCAATGTGAATAGATAAATAGGTACCGCTTTGGTGGTGAGGTAATAAAAGGCACCCGTGTGGACATGCCAGCAATTTGATTGGGAAAGCATCTGAGGACAACAAATCTAATCAGCATGGAAGATGGAGCGACAGCACCATCCGTGGCCAGAGTCGAGCAAGCCTCCAGATGCTGGAGTTAAAAAAAGTTGGAAAGCCTTTATTTATGTACTGTCTGTCCTTGTAAATTGTACAACAGCATTGAATGTTTGTCGGATATGTGTACGGTAATCCACCCTGAGTCCACTCAGGGAGATAGAGCAGAATATAAATAAAATACATTATTATTATTATTATTATTATTATTATTATTATTATTATTATTATGTGTCTAGTTGAGTCCAACTATGGGGGGTGGTCCTTGTCTCCATTTCTAAGTCGAACAGCCAACGTTGTCCATAGATGCCTCCAGGGTCATGTGGCTGGCAAGATTACATGGACCGCCATTACCTTCCCACCAAAGTGGTATCTGTTGATCTACTCACATTTGCATGTTTTCAAACTGCTAGATTGGCAGAAGCTGGGGCTAACAATGGGAGCTCACCCCATCACATGGATTCAAATTGCTAACCTTCCAGTCAGCAAGTTCTGCAGCTTAGCACTTTAATCCACTGCGCCACCACGGCTCTTATACGTAAATCATATTCACTTAAATCAGGGAGAAACAACTAGTGAAATCTAGGAAGCGGCACTGCCCACAGAGGAGAACTTAGAGGACCACACTTTCCCACCATATCTACTCAGCCAAAAACAGTTGGGGTTTTTTGGCCACAAATCTCCAAAAATCTCTAGGGGCTACTAGGAGCATCTTATCATGCATTTGGACCTTCCTGGGACTTTTAAAAAATAACATAAAGTGAGCCGATGTCACTTCTTGATTGCTTCCTTTTTTCGGAGGTCTCTCCTGGGCTTGAACTGGCTCATTGAAGACACACAACATGAAGGGGATCCCCCCCCCCAATATCTTGGGGTGAACATTTTCATGGTTTTATTTTTATTGTTGTTGTTTTAATGTTGGGGAGGATGAGGAGGCTTCCAAATATGGTAAAAATGACTTCTATGCCCTCCAGAAAGCATCTTGGAGCAAAGGAATGGAAAAGTATATTTGATCCACTTGGTCCTAGGAGCCACAAAAATAATCCTGGGGTTCACATGGAGTTTGCATTTGACCACTCCACACACCATTCACTCAAGCCATATTGTTGGGTTTTTTAAAAAAAATCTGCTTGATGTAGGCCAAATGTTGTGTCTTATCTTTAAAAAAATTGCATTGCAACTTACAATGAAGGTCTGGAATCCCAACTGCTGACATTTTCTTAAGGTCTTCAAATGCAGCGAAGCCATGCTGTGATCATTAGTAATGCCATCTCTTATCCCCCATCTCAGGTCCACCATTCGGAAGTCATAACCTCTCTCTTTACAATACTTGTATAGCCAAGGAAAGGACTTCTCCATCAATGCATTTCGTTCTACTTCTGAATCTAATGAAATGACCAAAATGTGATACCCAATTAATGTCATACTGCTAAAAAAAATCACTTTCCAGCATCAGGAAATACAGAAGAAATTGGCAAGTTTCTAACATATGAGTTATAAAGAGTCATTCTAGCAGTAAAGTAAAAATGCTCTCTGCATGAGTGAAGGGAGATCCATGGTTGTGCTATATACTTACAGCTCATATTTCCTCCTGTGACATCACAAGAATTTGTCTTTGGATCTCAGATTCAAACCTGATGACATGAGAAATAGGCAGAAAATGTTCTGGAAATCAGCCTTATTTAATTCAATGAGACTTAATTTTCTAATAGCCATTCAACCTATGAGTTACATTGTTATAAAACTGTAAGGGACTCCAAATCTGAGCCCCTGTAGAAAGTCCGGTCTCAGGAGAAGAGCAAAAGCAAGGTTTATTCCAGTATGGCCATAAGGAGATGGATCAGCCATACTGCACACGCAGGTCACAGTACTTTAAAAAGGCTGCCGTGCCCTACGCCCGTTGACCACACATTATATAGGGTTTTTTTTTATCTATCAAGGTTCTACTGCATGTTTTCTGGGGCAAATTTCAGCCCAATATCTGTTGCTACTCAAGTCCCAGCACAAGCCTCGGCCCTGTTCAGCAAGCCCTTCCTTTACGACTTATCTACTGCAGGGCACACAATTTCTCCAACCTGATGTTGACGTATTGCTCCTTTTCTGCAAGGAGGGGTACATTTCTTCTTATTCTGTTACCAAAGCAAATCTACTATAGGTATTGGCCTCCTTGGTATTGGCCTCCTTCAAAACTATATGGGTTTTAATTACAGCTTCCTATTAACTTGAGCAAGGTCTTACTTTCACTTTGCATTGGAAGAGTTTGTCTGCTGAGAACAGAAAATAAATCCCACGTCCGACCCTGAATTGAGTGATAGTTTTAAGGAGGGTTTGCTGTACTCATTCAAAATCCTATTTTACCAAAGACAGCAGAATGTGTAAGCCATGAGAAATGATGCAATTCTCATTAAAATCCATTGAATTCTTGCTTTTTTCTGGAAACTCACGTGTTTCCACCCCTCTGAGTCCATTGTAATATGGATTTAACCCTCGTGTACATTTATGATATGTTTCATTTTAGAATGAAAGAAGTAATCCCTATTCATCATTAATAACTACCCCATTTCTATAATGCAGTAGTTCCTAACCAGTGGTCCACAAGAACTAAAATATGGTCCATGGCCTCACCGTTATTACACCATTGCAAAGAGAACGACTGGTCTCGCGAAACCCTCTTATACTGCTGAGACTTATTAAATATGGTTTTCTGTGGGCAAGCAAATGGCAATGATTGGATGGCATATGTATCAGAAACTAGAGCTGATGTGGTCGATCTAATGCACCCCAAATAACCAAACCGAATCTAAAGTTGACCAACGGTAACCCTTTTGGTACTAATGTTGGAGAATGGTCCCTGGTCAAAGTGGTGTCTGGTCAAAAAAAGATTTGGAGCCACTGCTATAATGTCTTTTAACTGCACAATTTACAGAAGAACAAACTCAACTAAAGATAACCTATTGTATTATGACAGAAGCTTTCATGGACAAGCATCTGATGGACTTCACAAAAGCCTGTACTTCACAATAACCTTTTCCATTATTGATTAATCTTTGAGATGTCAAAATACTTTTGGTTGTTTTTCCAGTTCATGGAAATCTATTCTTATCCCAATACTTCAGTTTGTTCTGTTTTAATATTGGATTAGTTGTACCTTGATAGTCTCCGCAGATATAGACCATGAAGATTTTCTTTCTGGATAGACATGGCAAATTGATTTGTCCTCTAATTACAGCCTTGTTTGTGTCACCATCTGGAAGGCTGTAATGATAACATCTTGTATCATTACTTGTTCCCTGGTTTTTCAGCAAAAGCGCACTGGACAATTCTATTTCTTCCATCTGGGTTTCCAGATAAGGTCTAGTTAAAGAGTAGGCTCCATTGTGCACAGCTCTATCTGGTTTCTTATCTTCTGAGACACTGGAATCTGATAACCCCAGAGAAGCTGATAACACACTTCTATACAAATCTGTTGTCCTTCTATTGATTTTCTTCTCATCAATTGTCCCAGTCTCTTCTGAATGAAAGATTTCTCCACTTGTTTGTGTCTGGAGCAGCCATCCCTTTGTATACGTTAACCTCTCAATTTCTCCTTTCTTTTGCCGGGAAATTAGTTTCCTTTCCATCAATTTAGCAGGTTCACCCTTATCCAGAGATTCATCTGGACAGACACTGAATGTTGAATTGGGGTATTTGGCCTCATCTGTAATACTTTCCTCAGACTGAAAAGAAGGAGGTGAAACAAATTTGCAGTTAGTGTTATAGCCGTTAGACAGAACCATATGATTATTGAGATAGAACCCACATTCAAAATATTAATTGACTTCAATGAGGTAGCATATACCAGAGCAGTAAGACTACACTGGAACAGGACACTGCCTTAAACTGATGACTTGGGGATTTTAAAATGACTTTCATTACTTATGTATGTAAGCAGTTGAATTCCTTGTTGCATCATTTTATATGAAAGAGGTAATCTGTGATAAGCCACAATGCATGAATATTCAACACACATGTGAGAGAGATGCAACTCATTGATTAAACTTGGGTCAGTCAGCTTTTCTAATGACTGATCACCTTACAGGATTAGTGTGAGGATAAAATGGGGAGATGCATGCCTTTTTGAGCCTCTTGGGGGGAAAGCAAAATATATTGACCCAGCTCCTCAATCAGGAAGATATGGCATAAAGTTCTGCTAGGTGGAAGATCTCCTGTCCTCCAAAAACACATATAATCTGCTGTAGTTCCCCTTCCCTTAAAAACAGCCCTTTACTGGTTGGTGGAGAGCAGGGAACAGCAAAGAGGTGTTCAGGATTATGTAGCTGAATGTTCCTATTACACCAGATGGTTAATTAGACCAGCTGGTGTAATGATTTCCAACAATGGTACTACCTTTCCACAGTAGTAGGATTGCATGCCCCTGTGAGGCATGAAGCTATGCTGATGGCAGATAGGTTTTTACCCTAGGAGCCAGATGGAATGAACAAACAGTAATTTGGCAGAAGCAGTAATGGGAGAAATACTGGCAAATGATCTCTTCGAGACAATGGTAGGGGAGTCATAGCTAATGTTTGGTAATGCTGAAAGAGGCTCGGTAAAACTCTTTTGAATTTCTTTTGCCATGAAAACCCCACAATGACACAAACAAAATGAAACAAGACATACTGCCAGAAGAGATGGCACTCAACAAGCTTTTGGTCTACAGCAGAAGACAACTAGATGGAGTGAGGTGGCTAATGATGCAGCTAGTCTCAAGCTGGAAAGGAAAATCAGCTGTTGACATGTTCAGAGTTGAAAGGAAAGGTTGAAACTGCACAGCCCATATTATAGGAATATGGAATTTTAGAAGCATTAATAGATGAAGGTATGCACAGCAAAACAAGAAATGGGAAATAGAAACATTGCAGTACTTGGTGTGAGCAAGCTAAAGTTGTCAGAAATGGGACATTCTGAGTCAGATAATTACTCAGTGTTTTACTCAGGAAAGAAAAATTTAAAAGAAACGAGGTGGCATTTATAGTGAAGAGAAATGTAGAAAAAGCAGTCAAAGGATATAATACAAAGGCTGAATCATGTCACCAAAATTTCAGAAAGAAACACATTAAAAGAAACTTAATCTAAGTTTATGCCTAACTTGGGAGGACAGCTATGAAGGAACTAGATAAGATCACGAAGTTTCAAGATATATAACTGAATAATAGTTAGAATTGTTTATGCCACCATATTTCCCATTTCTAAATATGGTTGTTCACCAGAAAAAGCTGCTAGGAAGAAAATAAACTCATTTGAAAAGTGTTGTGTTAGATAAGAATTCTACAGAAATTTTGTTAGCTAAAAAGATTCATAAATTAACCCTAGAACAAATCAGTCCAGAACTCTCCCTAAAAGATAACAAAACTGAAGCATTTGTACTTTGGACATATCATGAGAAGACACGACTCACTAGAAAAGGCAATAATACTTTCTAGGGTAGAAGGCAGTAGCAAAACACGTGACAGACAGATCATATCAAAGAAGCCATGGTCCTGAATCTGCAAGACTTGAACATGACTGTTGATTATAGGGTGAAGTGGAACTATCATTCATAGGATTATACTCAGTCGAAGTCAACAGAAGTTAACAACCATGCTCCTACAGCTGGCCACATAGCATGAAGGCATCAAGGCAGCTATAGGAACATAGCTGCATTCTTCTCTTTTAACACACAACCTCTCCACTGGTTAATAAATAGCTCTGTAATAGCACATGGGGAAATGAGTGTATGTCTGAATTGTATCACCTCAGATTGGAAGTGGGGATGGGGTATAACTCCCATGGTGGAATGTATCTCCATGCTAAAAGGTTCCTTATACATATAAAATGAGATGTTGGGAAGAAATAAAAGTTTCAAGCTTAGCCATCTTTCAGATGTATAGATCCCCCCAATTGTTATGAGATGAGATGTTGGTGGATTGCTGTTGCAGCCCAAGCACCTATGTGACACCTTTGCACCCAAAATGGAAAGCTGATTGGTCCAAATACAGCTCAGCCAGTAGGAATCAATCAATTGGTTTAAAGTTTATGAAAGAAAAGAGTGTTCTATAGAAAAAGCTAGTTCAGCAGTACATTCCAGAGTACAAAATAGCAAAGTATTTCCAAGATATACATAAAAGGCAAAAACAGAAGTACATCCCAAATACTGGCTTCAAATATCATTCCAAAATATAGGTTAATGTCATAGTATTCTTGATGCAACAAACAGCAGCACCCAATACTGAAAGTAAAGACAAAAATCCATAGAACTTAGACGAAGAACTGTATGCAAAATGTGATTCCCTAATACCAAGCAAGAAAACATGACATGAAAACAAGGTTGGAAGCACACGAAAAAGGTGACTTTCTCTTG